CCTCCGCCTCCCGCAGTCTCCGCCCGCGGAGGGGCTTCCTAGTGTGTGGAAACTTTTCCTCCTTCACAGCTCCCTCCCACTGGTGCAGGTTCCGTCCTTATTCTTTTGTCTCTGTTTTTTCTTTTTTTCTTTTGCCCTACCCAGGTACGTGGGGAGTTTCTTGCCTTTTGGGAGGTCTGAGGTCTTCTGCCAGCCTTCAGTAGGCGTTCTGTAGGAGTTGTTCTACGTGTAGATGTATTTCTGGTGTATCCGTGGGGAGGAAGGCGATCTCCGCGTCTTACTCTTCCGCCATCTTCCCCCATATTGAATTATTTATCTCCATTATCTTATTTAATTCTAACAGGGAACCTATGAGCAGTAGACTTCATTGTCATACATGAAGAAACAAGACCCAGAGAGGTCAAGTAACCTTCTCAAGGGCACACAGCTGGGACATTGTAGAGCCAGAATTCAGATTCACTTGTGGCTGACTCAAGAACCTATACTTTAGCCACTTTGTGTTGCTGTTGCATTTTCAGACTTTTCTTGCCCTTTAATAATGATGATGCCAGAAGTAACTCTAAAGGATTTAAGGCAGAACCAGATATAGAGGCTACTCTCCTCACATCAAAGCAGCATCTAGATTTATAAACCATCTGCTGTTAGGGCTACTAGGGCCAGGGATAAAGGAACTGATGATGGAAGGGAATAGTCACGACAGCCCTGCAGGAGCAGACTTGAGAGTGTTTCCCCCTACCTTCTCCTATGAAGAAGACCCTTTTTGAGACTGTGGCCCCTTCCCCAGGTAGATATTCAGTGAAAATACCTACAATATGGGCTTCTATGGAGGTGGAGGGTATGTGAGTGTGGATGAGAGTGAATGTCCTTTATGGAGTTCCAGGCAAGTTGTCTGGAAGGAGCACATATGATAGAGGTACCGTATAGAAAGTGATTTTTGCCTCCCTTGCACATGCCCTGAGAATGGTGGACACATAATGACCATAGTCACCTCTTTGCACATACACTGATGATTAGTGCTTACCTAATATCTATATGTAGCAATATACAGGCAACACAAATTGTACAGATGTACAAATTGCAAGCCAAAACCCAAGTGAGCAAAAGTTACTTCATTTTTTTTTTTTGTAACAGAACTTTGTTTATGTTGAAAGTTGCGTTTCTAATAAGTGGTGTCAACTTGATCTCAGCCAATCAAGTTTTCTTCCCTTATGCTGGGGTTGCTTCTGAGAGCGGCTGGTGGACCATGAAGGCATTGGATGGGGGAGAGAGGGGAGCATAGGTGTCTGCTCTGAGCTACCTTCTACCAATGCCATTGTCAGCTGAAACGTCCATTCTAGTCTTTGGGAAGTCTTGTGCTGATCAATGTTACTCCATGCTCCTTGAGAGTTATGTGAGAGTCATTTTTGCTCTTGGCTATTACCTCCTAAATGACTACCTGTATGCAGGTGTTTATTATCTGAGGCTCTGCTTCCAGGTGGAACTAAGCTTGGGCAGGGTTTTTGTTTATCTATTGGATCAGCATTAAGAGGTGCATGGTTTAATACTGGCTCGGTTTTTGTACTCTAGGCTCAAGAAGGCACAATTTGAAAGGGATGGTATTGGCAGTGGAATGAACAGATGGAACTTTTATTAGTTTTGTTGATATAGTGAGGCTGTGTAATCAACTACCTGAAGACTCAGTTGCTTACAACAAGCATTTATTCTCAATTCAACTTGCCAAGGTGACGAGTTCAGTTTATTTAGGCTGCACTCATCTGGACAGCTCTGGTTCATGCTGTGAGATGGCTGGGGTTTGTTCCAGAATGTGGATCTGCTCCATATATATCTGTTCCGGAAACAGGCTGAAGGGGCAATAGCTCCCAGGAACATACTCTCCTCATAGCGCGGAACCACTGAAAAGTAAGCGCCAAGCCAAACTGCGAGCAGATTTAGGGCCCTTATTTGCACCACGTTCACTAATATTTCGTTGACCAAAGCAGATCAAGCTTAGCATCCATAGGCCAGGAAAGTACACTCTGTCCACTGGGGCAGAAAGAGTAGAGTGAATGATCATCATCATTGTGTGTATTAGTGCTATGTAGCCTTGTAAAATTATGAGGCAGTTAGGAAAACATTACTCTTCCTGCTTATGGGTTTAAATTTATATTTAAGAATTAATGTCTATCCTTGAGTCGTGTGTGTGTATTTGTGTTTGTACTCACAACCTGCACATGGTTAGTCCAATAGTTACCAAATGGGCATTCAAAAGAAAACAGAGATATATCTTCAACCCTCCTGGTGGGAAGACTTTGAAGGTGGCTGGGTATGGAGGACAAAAGCCAGTTGAACAATCCTCTGGAATTCTTGAAAAATTATTTTAGTTTTACTGAGTATTTATAACTTAAGGGGAAGGAATGGGGTCTGGGGGAAAACCAACACTCCCCCTCCCACCCCCTGGTAGGAAGAGGTCAGATTCTGAAATGGTGGGTGGAAATTCCTGGAATGAAGGTTTGAAGCAGGAGAGAAAAATGGGCCTGAGAATAGGAGAGCAGAGTTAGGAATTGGGGGCTTCTAATGAGGGGCCCTCTGGGAGGGAGTTAATGCTTATTTGCTGTAATCTGGCCTATAAACAATGTCATGATTAGTGAACTGTTGCAAATGACTTCTCTCACATGCAGTCCCTGTAGTTCGGGTTTTTTGTTTTCTGTTTTTCCCTCAACACTTTAGTTAACGCTCAATCATACAACTCACACAGTGAAAGACGGGGCTATAAAGGAAAATGAAATATACCTATTTAAGCAGATTCTTAAATTACCTTCAAGAAAGCCCATTTAGGGACTTCCCTGGTGGTCTAGTGGTTGAGACTCTATGCTTCCACTGCAGGGGGCTTGGGTTCAATCCCTGGTCGGGGAACTAAGGTCCCACATGCCCTGTGGTGAAGCCAAAAAATAAAGAAGAATAATTAATAAAAAAGGAAAGAAAGCCCATTTAACTTCTTAATGTAAACCTTCACCTTTTCCTTTTTACAGTTCATTTGGGAAATATAATAAGTAAGAGAAGGAGGTCCCGTTTTTGTTGGAAACATAAGCCTTTTCTTTTTTGACTTTGTGAGAAACCATTTATTCTTTTGATTTATAAGCATATTGTACATATTCTAGTTAATACATCAAGTATATAATGTGGGATTTCCTTTAAAAATGCTAAGACCATACATGTTAAACTCAGCTACACATTGTATTAGGCTACTAGACAAATGTCATTTTTAATACCACAACACATATATATTACACTTTTTTTTTTCACTGACAGAGGAACATGCCTTTCAAAAATATTTTATTGGATGAAACTCTTATTCTCAGGAAAATTTTGGTTTTTGATATAATTTATTATGCCTTTTAAAATTCTGTTTGATAAAAGCATTTGGTAAAGCATTATAAATACCTGTAAAGAAAATATAGTTTAAAATTCTGAGGGAAATATTATATAAGTTTCCTTTTCTACATTTTCACAAAAATCCACACAGGCACTAAGAAAGACTGACAAAAATATTTTATGTCTGAACAGTATGTTCCAGGTTGGAAACATTCAAACATGACTTTATTTAAACATTAAAGCTTCTCTTGATTGAACCTTTGGCTACAATCCAATGGTTGGTTGGGGTTTTAACCAGGAAAAGATACTGTCAGAATAATGAAAAAGAAAGCTTCATACAATTAGCACTAGGTTAGGAATGGGGATAGGATGACTTTTCATTTTTTACTGTTTATTGGCCTCTCTGGGCCTTAGCTTTATTTTTTTAGTTGAAAATTGATCTAACAGCTCTCTGGTACTTTTCAGCTTTATTTAGTACTTTTTGTTGTGCAGAAATTTTCAAAATTCTATCTAACACTATGTATCAAACATGTGATACTTCCAAGGACAGAGTGATACTGCAATTCTTTCAGGAGAACATCCTAGATGCATCATGGGTATTGCTCTGGAAATACCCTCATTCTGCACAAATTCAAATGGTAGAATTGGGGGTGAAAGTTTGTCTTACCAAACACACTTTAAAGCAAGTGACAGACTCTAGGGTTCTTTTCCTGATCTAGTTCAATGTAGTTCTCTTCCTGGTCCAGTGCATGTGTGGCCTTATGAAGTTCAGACTTCATGGAAGAATTGCAAACAGCAAACTCAGTGGGAGAATGCCAGTATTGTAGGCAACTGGAACCTTTGTGAGTATATAGGAAGTGGGAAGTGAGGGGATTGGCAGTTAATGAATTAGTATAAATGAGCATCTGGGTAAGGTGAGATTAAACACATAAGTCAAATAGGATTTCAGAGCTACTTTCAGGGGTCTCAAATACCATTTTTTTTTTTTTGGCCTATAAATTAGATCATGACAGATTCTTATAATTATTGATTATCATACAGAAAGAAGTTGGGGATATTTCTTTCCTAATGCATTTACACTTTGTACATGTTCATTAGTGCAGGAAAGGGTAAAATCAAATGCCTATTGAATGCTGACCTGTAAGGTGCCCGTGATAAGCAGCACGGAACAGGGTATCATGGGGGCATGTGTTCAAGTCTAGCTGGGAAGCTGCTACTCAGCTCCAGCCAACTGTTGCGATGAGGGAAGATGGGTCTGAGAATTAGGTTTTATGTGAAATCTCGTATTTTCAATAATCACTCACATATTTAAAACATTTAACAGGCCAAACAAAATCTAGCCTTTGGGCTGCCAGCTTGTGTCCTCTGAGTTGAAGCTTGGAAACAGTTTGGTGAGAATTTGGATACTATCATCTATAAGACTGGAGAAGGGCCTTTAGTGTCAAGGAATAAACACTCAGTTTCAAAGATCCAGAAAAATCTGCTCTAATGAACATAATTTAAAAAACAAATGAAACCTCCCACTGGCTCTCCTTATTATGAATATTTTCCTGTTATTGGTTTTCCGTGTTATGAGTGGTTTCCTATTATGACTATTAAAAATATTATGATTAGGAATTTGCCAAGTCCCGAGTATAAGTTTGTTCTAAGAAAGTGGTATCAGTAGCTCTCTCAGTATTTAGTTTGTGGCTGAGAAAGGAGAAGGTAATGAGGAAGAGAGGAAGGCCAGAGCTCACAGCATGAGTCACAGTCACCTTTAGATCCATGGAGGCCTCTCCATGGCACACCAAGCCACGCAAAGAAAAATGCTCTAAAACTGCTCAAACCAGAAAATGCAGGGTTTGAGGCCTGTTTCTGGATCTAAATAACCCAGCCTTTCCCCAGAATGATCTAATGGCCACTTCCTGAATGAGCAGTACTTTGGAGTAGAAAAACCCAGGGTGTGAGTCTGATTGTGAACTCCTTCATTAGAGACTTTCCAAACCCTTCTTTGGCATCAAAATTTGAATCACCACATGGCAAAGACAGAGGACAAGCTGTTAAGAATAGTTTTCCTTCCTCTCATTTTTTGCAGATTACTTTTTCAAATTAACTGTTGCCCAGGTGATGCCTTTTCTTTTCAGACAGGAAATGGGAGGCTTGAGGAGGCATTCTCATGTGGTATGAGGACCACGTGTGAACCGTGGCTCCAGAAAGAACAAAACATTTGACTTGTGCAGGCAGGGAAGATGTGTTTTGAAAGAGCTGTAATCAATTCAGGAAGTTGGATTTGCTGCTTGAGCTCATAGCTTTCAACTATCCAGGTTGGGGAGAAAAAGAAAAAGTACCTCAAAGGATATTACAAGCAGAAGAATCAATGACAAAACAACCACTTCAGACACAGGCAATATCTAACGGGAAGGAAAAAGCATGACTATTTCCAACTTAGGACCACCACTCATTTTAATTTTCCTTCCTCAGAATGTCCACCAGAGCTTGCAGCAGCCGATCATCCCTGTGCTTATAAGGTTTCGTGTTATAGAAAACATCAACGTAGTCATTATACAGACTATCCTCAGAGTCTTTAAGCTGGGAAGGTTTGTTCAGCCTTTCCAGGGCTTCATAGAAATTTTCATAAGGGATGTTGAGCTTTGCACTTGGAGACTTCTTTGGTGATTGCTTTGGGGGTGAGTTTTTGCTGAAAGCACTTTGTAGGAGTTGTAGCATGGCCTCAGAAGGGGCTCCCTCTGCCAGCTCATCCCTTCTGCCCCCCACACCGCTGCTGCTGGGGCTTTTGGTTGCCAGAGGGTTCTCATTCAGGTTCTCTTGTGTGGGCTGCTCCTGAAACACAGAAAGCCACCGGCAAAGGGGAGAAGGCTCATTATTTAGGAGCAGGCAAGCCAGCTGCAGCACACGCCCACTGCCTGCCCCTCGAGAGGCAGTCTGGGGAGCAGAGAGAGCACAAGGCTTGGAATCACACTATCTCGGAGTTCAATCCTCATTTTCTCATTTACTGAGGCACCTTTGGCACCTTTTTAAACTCCGTGAACTTCTCCTGTAAGATGGCAATAAGAATCCCTCCATTTCTGGTGGTTTTGAAGACTGAACCAGATGATGTATGTAAGCGCTCATACCTATCGGTCTCCTTCACTTGTCAGCCTGCTGTAGTAGAATTCATGTTAGGGAATTTAACAATATTGAATTCATTAATTTTAATGTCTGAATTCTGGATGAAAAAATAAATTTTAAAAGATAGTAGGGGGCTCCCCTGGTGGCACAGTGGCCACTGGGCCTGCACGTACAGAACCTGTGCTCTGCAACGGGAGAGGCCACAGCAGTGAGAGGCCCGCGTACCGCAAAGAAAAAAAAAAAAAAAAAGGGTTGGGAGGAAAGAGAGTAGGAGTAAACTGTTTATTTTCCACAGGAAATTGTTTCATTCATTTATTCTTTTATCCGAAAGTTAGAAATTAAAATTAATGAATTCAAAATTATTCAGTTCCCTAACATGAATTTTCTCCATTTATAACAATATCAAATTTTAAAGAGAGCTGTCTTTTTGTATGATCACGTATAGCTAACATTTGTATTGTACCTAGTTTGTAAGCATTTTTCACGTTGTCTCATTTAACTTATAATCCTTGTAACCTAGAAAGGATAGACCTCAATATATCCATTTTACAGAAAGAAGACCAAGGCTCAACTGATCAAATCATGCAGGCTTCTCTTTACTAATTCCTTAACTGACACTTCTTGGCAACTCCAAGAGGAGCTATAGAATCACAGTTTCTCTCAGAAAATTGCCAAGGAAAGCTAAAGTCAGTCAGTTACATTCCTAGGTCTCAGCCTACTGAGGCTGCTGGCTTCTCCCTTATCAGATGGTGGGCAGAAAACACATTTTCTTTATCTCTGTATCCCCCAGGCCTCTAGCACAGTGCCTCAGATGTAGTAGGTAGGTTATCAGAATTCCCAGAATGTCCTTTCCTGAATAGGTCTGGCTCTGTGACAGGTGTTTTGGAAGGTACAAAGACATTATTTATTCAAGAAATTTATAAACTAGCTGTGAGAAGGCCTCAGCTCATATTATGGCCCCATTTACATTCTGCAGAATAGCTTTCCTCTGGGACTCCACCTTGGAGGCCTCCTCTTCCCAATTCTGGAGGCAGGTGGACCTTGTGGGTATTTCTTCCTCCAAGATTCCTTAAGGGGTATTAACGGGACCATTTGGCTGTTAAAATACTGAAATGCTTCCACAACGTTGACAAAGAGCCGCTTCTCTGATTTCTCCAGTTCCCCCCTTCCCCGCCCACCACCCCAATCTCTTCCCAGGCCCCTTCTGACAACTCAGAGGCTGAAAGTGCAGCTCCTGACAGCAAGAGGCCTCTAGAAAGCTATTCCCACATGACAGCACAGTTGGCGCCTCTGTACGAGTTATTACCTACTTTATTATCAGCTCCTTCCCAAAACATGGGTGGGAGGAAAGGGAGTGGGAGTGGTAAACTGCTTCTTTTCCATAGGATGAAACCCTACTCTCTTTTTTTTTTTTTTTTGCGGTACGCGGGCCTCTCACTGCTGTGGCCTCTCCCGTTGCGGAGCACAGACTCCGGACGCGCAGGCTCAGCGGCCACGGCTCACGGGCCCAGCCGCTCCGCGGCATGTGGGATCTTCCACGGACCGGGGCACGAACCCGTATCCCCTGCATTGGCAGGCAGACTCTCAACCACTGCGCCACCAGGGAAGCCCTGCCAACCCATGTTTGATTCACTTCCTGCCTAAAAGTTAGGGGTAGCTTCACCCACTACATTGTCTACTACAGTTCACAAAAGAACATGCCAGTAAGAACAGAGCCACACAGACCTCCCCCGAATCCACCATCTTCTCCACCCCTCTTCGGTCATTCTGAACGGTGTTGTAGGACGTGTACACTCGGGGCTGTTTCATGTGTTCTGGTTGAGAAGAGGTCCCATGCAGAATTAGCTTCCAGTTCACGATTCTTCCTTCATTTTGCATTCTTCCAGACTAATGAGTAAGCATACATAATTTTAGTGTATGTTCTGAGCAATATAAACTCCTTCAAAATAGCTAAATTTTATAGTTTAATTTTAAAATTCTGTGCATTTCATGTGTAGAGCTCTGGGTACAAAGACAAAAATCACTGGCCTCACTCTTCCTATGAAAATAGATAGTTGACAGGTTCAAAGATTTAAAAACTGATCAGTTGCCTTCAATTAAAAAAGGAGAACTCTCTACGTGAACCTTCTTTTCTATACTGGGTGTGTCCTTGAAAAGTTGACTGTATCTTATATAATGAGAATTATATTTATCAATTATCAACTTGTAGAAACATTCCAGTGGGAAAAAAAAAAGTCTGCAGAGTAATATAAATAGCCCTCAGCATTAAGCAGTCCTTAAGAGCTGTATATTTATGGGAAGAGTAATAATTTTCACAGGCTCAACAATTATGTTAAAAATAATGCTGAAATCTAAAATATCTTTTAAAAAAATCTAAAATATTTTTTTAAAAAATCTAAAATATCTTTAAAAAAATCTAAAATTGTAGAGTCAGATTTTGCAGACTTGGTATAAAATAGTCCCATCTTGGTAAACAGATTTTCTTAGTTTCCTTATGGTGAAACTGAATTAAAGAATGGAGGCCAAGGTCAGGAACAGGACCATAAACTAAGAATGTTTTCTTGTTCTCCCTATGAGAGCAGAAATTTTTACAACTTCCATTGCTAAATCACAATTTTAGCAGTCTTTAGGTGAAAGCTATTCTCAGAGAAAAAAAAGTAACAATGACTGTAGAATTTTTATTAACTTAATTAACATCTCCAGGAATTTAAAATCATTTATTTTTAAAAAGTTATCTAGACATTGATTCTGGTGCTACTGGTACTTATAACACTGCTATCTCAGAATAACTTGGACCTGAAAAACCATTCATTTATATGCTCACCTATAGAAAATGCTGGAGAAATGATATAAAAATAAATAATTCAAATGTATTTGGCTTTTTGCTCATACACTTTATTTTCGGGACTGTGTGTTACAATTATAGAAGAAAATCAGTGTTAGCAAACAGAAAGAAAACTGAGAAATGCTTTTGTTTCATAACTGAAACAAAACCAAAAAAGTCATATTAAATAAGATATGTTATCTAACAAGGAAGCTACTTTTAAATAGCCACTGCAGTAAATATTGGTAAGAGTTCTGTCATATGACCCCAGCAGAGTGTCATAGCAAAGTTGGTGTAGCATTTAACTATGGTTGTAAATACAGCTGATTCTGGTGGCTGAGTAGGTCATGTGGCTGGCTGTGTTCTGACATGGGTATACTTGGATTTGCCCCACAGTCTGTCACATTGTGTATCAAAATATCTTTTCTTCCTTCTTATATGGCTGGTGCCTAATTTTTTAAAATTTATTTTCTATATAGCCAAGTGGGGAGAACTTGAAACACTAAACTTTCTCCTTACCTCTATAAGGAGTGATCAAATTTCCTTTGGGCCCTTTCTTATGCACTGACTTTAAAAGAGCTTCAGAGTGTCTAAAAGTGAGCTTGTGGTTCTGTATCCTTTCATTCATACTTACAATGTCTGTAATTCCCAAAGTCCAAGTGCCTATGGGATTCTCTCCCCATGTGTGAACAGACATGAAGTCCCAATTCTTAAAGCCATTAGGAGATGTATCCCGCTCTCTTTCAGCCAACAGTACGGTGCTGGTTCCTGTTTTCATGCAAGCATCACAAATTAACAAGTATCCTAACAAATCTGATAGTAGGACACACTTTAGCATTTGACAACTGAAAATGGAAGCTGGGAAAAACTAGCTTTCTTAATTTTCCCTTTGAGTATAATACTAGGATGGAGACATTCTCAGGAAATAAAGAAGTTTTTATTCACAGTACTTAGTGTATTGCCTGACATATAATAAGTTGTCAATAAATATTGTAGAAAAATAAATAATGGATGAATATATTGAGTAAGGTTTATCTGAATAAGGAGAACTCAGAGAACTATGTTTATGAACTACATTAAAGAAGAGCATCAAAGACCTAACATACATATTAATGGAACTATCATTTTGAAATTAAGAGGAAGTTTTGAAAATTTAATAGGTGCCTGAGTCTATAATGTAGCATAGACATAATAAAATAAAGCCATATATAATTTAATCTCTTGTCATATAAAACTACTAGTAAGAATAGTTTACTAGTAAGAGTAGTTACTCTAAATTTTCAAATCCAAGTTCTCTATAGATCAATAAATAATATTTTTTAAGAGAAAGTGTCAAATGAACTATAGGGCCATTAATGAAAAAGCATTCTGCCAATATTTCAGGCCAATTCCAAGGTATTAAGGAAGCATAATTCCAGAATTAACAGAACTTACTCCAAACCTCTAGGAAGTTCATATCCTGGAAGGGCATTATAGAGATAGTTCATCTTTCTCATACATCACTTATGGGAATTAAATTTAGTCAGTTGAATCCTACTAAAACATGAAAAAGGATTAGGACAGCTTCTCCTGGTTGGATCGTGGTTTATGTTTCACAAGCTCTTTACCATCTATGATCTTGTCTGACTTAGTAACCTTTCAGGAAAGGACAAATTGCCCATATATCATATCATATGCCTTAATCATATAATTGTGGAAAATTTGTTAGTCTCCTCAACTCTCTTTCATGGATCAGAATTCTCAGTTTTTCCACTTAATTCCTTGGATGAGACTAATATATCTGTCAGCTTAATTATTAGAGTAATTTTCACTAATGTGTTACCTGAGAGAAATGAATGATAGATCAGTGACCTGGGATAATGAGCACAGTTTGAAAATGCATAACTCAGAAGGGTTTATTAATTGGTATTATTTGGATAGGCCTCATTCTTTGCTTATCTAAGGATCAGTTTGAATGAGCAGAGCAGAGTTCTGATGCAAAAAAAAACCAAACAAACATATTTTTTAAGACCTGAAAGTGTCTATGGGAAGACTTAGGTCTATATATAAACAAAAATCAATCATTGATTTGAAATCATTTAATTTATACTGAAAAATTTAAACACATAATTTAGAAGAAATTGAATTTTGTTTTGTTTTGTTTTTTTGAAATTTACCAGCAGCAGAAGTGAGGGTGACATGAAGGTCTCCTCTGCGGGAATATTCAATTGTTGCTTCAAATTGCACATGTTCCAGTGACTTGATAGCATTTTCTTGTCCTTCACAAGCTCTTGTTGGAATTTCTATGATAACTTCTCCATTAGCTTTCAGGGCTCTAAATACATTAAAGAATCATCACTGAACAAAGTGTATCTCTTCTTCCTTGCATTTTATGGAAATATGTACACAACACTCTTAAGGAGATACTCAGCTAGGCTTGTTGTCTCTCTCTATTACGAGTAGAAACCAATTCAGGATTAGGTATAAACTAATTTTAATGCACAAGAAAATGATAAGGTTTTTCTGGAAATAGAAAAAGACAATTCTACAATTTATATGGAACCACAAAACACTATAAATAGCCAAATCAACCCCAAGAAAGAAGATCAAAGCTGGAGGAATCACACTTCCTAATTTCAAAATATAATACAAAGCTACAGCAATCAAAACAGTATGGTACTGAAGAAAAAAAGCACTAATTTGAAAAGATACATGCACCCCAGTATTCATAGCACCATTATTTATAATTGCCAAGATATGGAAGCAGCTTAAGTGTCTATCAACAGATAAATGGATAAAGACGATGTGATACACACACACACATACAAAGGAATACTAACCAGCCATAAAAAAAAAAATGAAATTTTGCCATTTGCAACAACATGGCTGGACTTGGTGAGCACTATGCTAAGTGAAATAAGCCAGAGAAAGACAAATACTGTATGATATCACTTATATGTGGAATCTAAAATACACAGCAAACTAGTAAATATAACAAAAAAGAAACAGACTCACAGATATAGAGAACAAACTAGTGGTTACCAGTGTGGAGAGGGAAGTGGAGGGGCAATACAGGGGTAGGGGATTGAGAGGTATAAACTCTTAGGTATAAAATAAGCTATAAGGTATATTGTACAACACAGGGAATATAACCAATATTTTATAATAATTATAAATGGAGTATAAACTTTAAAAATTGTAAATCACTATATTTTACATCTGCAACTTATATAATATTGTACATCAACTATACTTCAAAAGAAAAAAAGTATAGTACTGGCATAAAGACAGAAATACAAGCCAATAGAACAGAATAGAGATCCCAGAAATAAACCCACCCATTAGACCTGAAACTGTAAAACTCCTAGAAGAAAACATAGGGAAAAAGCTTCATGACATTGGTCTTTGCAGTGATTTAATGGATATGACATTAAAAGCACAGGCAGCACACACACAAAAAATAAACGAGTAGGACTACATCAAACTAAAAAGCCTCTGCACAGCAAAGGAAACAATCAAACTGAAATGGCAACCTGCAGAATGGTAGACAATATCTGATAAAGGGTTAATCTCTAAAATATATAAGAACTCCTACAACTCAATAGCAAAAAAACCAACAACCTGATTCAAAAATGAACTAAGGACCTAAATCAACATTTCTCCAAAGAGGACATACAAATGACCAACAGGTATGTGAAAAAAAAATGTTTACCATCATTAATCATCAGGGAAATGCAAATCAAAACCCACATCAAAACACCTGTCAAGGGGCTTCCCTGGTGGCGCAGTGGTTGAGATTCCGCCTGCCGATGCAGGGGACATGGTTTCCATGCCCCGGTCTGGGAAGATCCCACATGCCGCGGAGCGGCTGGGCCCGTGAGCCACGGCCGCTAAGCCTGCGCGTCCGGAGCCTGTGCTCCGCAACGGGAGAGGCCACAACAGTGAGAGGCCCCCGCGTACCGCAAAAAAAAAAACACCTGTCAAGAGTCAGATGACTATTACTAAAAAAAAGAAAAAAGACAAGTGTTGATGAGCATGTGGAGAAATTGGAGCCCTTGCACAATTGGTGGGAGTGCAAAATGGTACAGCCACTATGGAAAACAGTATGAAGTTTCCTAAAAAAAAAATAAAACTGCCGTATGATCCAGCAGTCTCACTTCTGGATATTTATCACAAGGATTGAAACCAGGATCTCAAAGAGATATTAGCACTCCCATGTTCATTGCAGTATTAGTCACAGTAGCCAAGATGTGGAAACAACCTAGATATTCATCAACAGATGAATGGTGCTGAGTGAATAAACCAGTCACAGGTAGATAAATATTGCATGATTCTACTTATATGAGGTATCTAAAATACTCATAGAATCAAAGAGTGGAATGTTGGTTGCCTGAGGCTTGTAGGGGGAATGGAGAGTTCCTAACCACTGGGCATAAAGTTTAAGCAAGATAAATAAGTTCTAGAGATCAGTTGTACATTGTACCTATAGTTAACAATTATGTATTGTACACTTAAAATTTAAGAGGGTAGATCTCATGTTAAGACTTCTTAACACAATAAAATAAAAAGGGAAAAAAGGAAAAAAATGTTAAGGAAGACACAGATACTTAAATACAATGCTATTTGCCATGGCATTGAATTCAAGCAGATTTGCCTTATAGCCATCAAAAAGTGGTCCAATACTGAAATATACCCTCTTAAGAAATGATTTTCTCTCCCTAATGCAGGCCCTCCAAGCCTCCCACCCTTGGGTATTTTGTGTGAGTGGGTCTTCAGTATAATTGCAGTTGCCTTGATACGAGATTCTGCTTCCGTAGCTAGATGTAGTGGGAGAGGTGTAGTCTAATTGAAAGCCATATGATAAAAGATCCTTCACGGAAGGAAAGTCACGAATCACAAAGCACTGTGGCATGAAGCGAGGTTCTTTTGGAAGTAGGTTTGGGGTAACACTGGTTGGCAAGTACTGCATTTCATCATTTCTAAGATGCATTAAAAAAAACTTTAACATCTTTGAATTTGGAATGAATATTAAAGAACTGATGGTTGGTAATAGTTTAATTGGCAATGATTTTTCTTAGTGATATATAGAACAATTGTGCACATTAACTTAGTGCTATCTGGTTGGTAGGCTATGAGAGGAAAATACAAATATGTTAACATGATTTGCAAATCTTTGATCTCTGTGATTCCTCATGGACACACAGGGAACACTGACAAATGCCATCTCCATCTACTTCAGAAGGGTAGGTGAGAAAAATTAAGCAGAGTGACAAATGTCATACTCAAATAGTGCCATGGGCACACATTTGTTTAAAATTCCTGGAGACACTTACCTGGGCTCAAAGTCATTGTCCTTTACAACACATTCCTTCTTCTCAGGCACACTGCTCCAGGTCCTGGGATCAGCTAAATCCACCAGAGCTTTGGCATTTAACAACCCGAATCCAAATCGACTATTCACCATCAAGCCTGCTCCATTCTTTTTCCATCCAGGGTTATTGGCCAGTGGGTCATACTCAGAGGTCCAGACAACCAAGTGCTGCATATCTCGCCAGGTGAGATTTGGACTGGAGAGGAAGTGACCCAAAGAATCTTTAAGGGACAAAAAGAAGTTTCCTTGCAAAAGCAAGTGCTAAAAACAATCATCTCCATTCAGAGATGATGAGGTATCTTTTGCAACTGTGCTTATGTAAATTTTGTGTGTATCACTATTGTTATGTCTTTCATTCATAATTTAAAATACAGTCTTGAAAACTTCTCCTCATACCGCATAAGTTACGATCTTAGCATGAGTAAAATTGGTTTTCAGCATTGTAGAAAAGTAGAACTTGGCCCCTGATTCCTATGTACTTACATTTAACTGGAACAAAAATTTAAAATGACAGCACTTCCTTTGTGCCTTCCAATCGTCTGCTGTTCATTAACAGCCTTAGTATTTTCAGCATTATGAACCCACAGTTGAGCTTTTGACTTCCTTCTTAGGAAGACTCAGATTTAGACATAGGCTGGCTACCTACTCTTAAATAAATAAATAAATAAATAAATAAATAAATATATATATATATATATTTTTTTTTTTTTTTGCGGTACGCGGGCCTCTCACTGTCGTGGCCTCTCCCGTTGCGGATCACAGGCTCCGGACGCGCAGGCTCAGCGGCCATGGCTCACGGGCCCAGCCGCTCCGCGGCATGTGGGATCTTCCCGGACCGGGGCACGAACCCGCGTCCCCTGCATCGGCAGGCGGACTCTCAACCACTGCACCACCAGGGAAGCCCAACTCTTAAATATTTTTTACCTCTTTTCTTTATATAGCAAAAGTGTCAAGAAGCTCTTAGCTACTTGAGATCATTCTTACAAGGCACCATGCTGAATAGTGTGGGGATATTCAAGGAGGTAGTTCATGTTTTTAAGAAGTGTACAATCAAGTAAATGAACTAAGTCTTTCAATAACTATAATATATCTGTTGAATGCTGTATTCATAGCACAATGTATTGTAGAACTTTGAAGAGAAAGAATTCCTTTGGGATGGAAAGATCTAGGATGGCTTTTCTAGGAGGAAATATTTGAGTTGAGTTTTAAAGGGTGGGTAGAATGTCAAAAAGTTGAAAGAGAGAGAACAGGGGATGAGGCAATGGGTCAAAACCTCTGACAGGGGAAGGATAGGATGTGGCCAGAGTACAGTGAATAGTCTGGTTTACTGAAGCAAGGAAGAGGTGAGCTGGAGTACTGAGCTGGATGGTGAGGACCTTGAATGCCATGAAAAGGAGCTTATACTTTATCGTTTGGATAAAGGGGAGCCATTGAGGATTTTTGAGCAAGGGAATGGTATAATGAGGAGCCTTGGCAAAATTAATTTAGCAGCAATATAAAGATAAATCAGAGATGCATGGGATTGTCAGGTCTGTTATAATGAATATGACACCTTCCCTGATCACCCTATTCAAGATTTCAATTCTCCCCAAATACTCCTGAGCTCTCTTACCTTGCTATAGTTTTTTTTTTCTTTCATAGTGCTTATCATCTTCTAACATACTGAGCAACTCATTTGTTTTGTGTATTATTAATGTCTGTCTCCCCTGCTAGAATCAGCTGGGAGAAGGGCTGAGATTTTTATACATCTTGTTCTCTGATGTGTACCAAGCACTCAGAAGAATGCCAGGCTCAGGGTATATATGCTGGGTAAATATTGGTTGGTTGGATGATTGAATGTGTGCAAGTGTTAACTAGCCTTAAATACAATTTTAAAACTTACTTCTATTAGTCATTAGAGTCTTTCATGATCTCAAGCTTTTCCTTAGCTTTGAGACCTGCATTGTTTCTATCAAGCCAATCAAGCATTATTTATTAAATAATAAATGCCTAAGTGTTGAGTCTTCAAGGTTTCTATCTTACCACTTGGTTGTGAAACAACCATCAGGGGAATCTGTCTCAACTTGCTATTTTCTCCCCAGAGCCCATCATGGACTGGTTTAACAATCCCCTGGTGACAAGCAAGAGGCAATACACATTCCTAAACACTGAGGAGTCTGTTGCTGGCTAAGATCTAAGTCCTCATCATAAGCGCTGCAAAGGCTCTATCTGGTGGGCCTCATGGGGAAGCTGTCCTCTCCACCCCAGTTTGAGTGCACAGCCCGTGCATCACCATCTCTGAAGGGAGCTGCAGTCAAGGACTCAGGCCTTCCTCCCCCATCAAGCTCTTCCCATATTTACATTCCTAGGCCCTGCGCCTTCATTCCTTATCTGAGGCCTTGGGCAAAGCTCTTCTTCAGGCGCCTCAGCCAAGGCCTCCTAATGGGGGGGAGAAGAAGGAACCTTGAAGATACTTCTCCCCACTCTGACTCAGTACCCAGTACTTCTCCACTCTGAGCCTTCCCCCTCACCCCACCCCACCCCAGAGTCCATAAAACTACCAGAGCCTTCTGTTGGGGCTTCCTCAACAGTGAGACAACCCCCATGTCCATGCTTTCACCTGACCATCAGCTGGTGCACCTTTCCATGGGGGAAAATGGAATAGGGAGAGTCAGTGTTTTCTCTGGTTTTAGACTCTGGCCTTTACCATCACAGTAAGTGATGAAAGGCTTAACCCTTTCATTTTTGGTCTGTTGCTTTAAAGCTACTCTGACCCCTGGCAGCTCAGTATGCTTTCTCTCTGCTCAGCTGAGCTCCTGACAAACAGCACAGAGAGTGACTGATAAAGGTCTAAACCTACTGAATCAAAATATCTGAGGGTAGGGCATGATTTTCTATGTATATTTGAAAAAACCTGTCTAGGCAGTTTTATGTTATACCTAAAATAATAGGAGTTGGAAGAAAGAATACAAGCATATAACTAATTAAGACAATTAAGGGTCAGAATAGGGAGTAATAGAAGGCACATTAATTTATATTCTACTGCCAAAGACCTGTGTGACCTTAAGCAAAGCACTTCATCTCCCTGGGCCTGAGTGGACTCATCTATAAGATGAGTGGTTGAGTATGACAATCTTGAAAATTCCATATTATTCAGAACTCCAATCTGCCCAATATCATATATACTTCATTGTAGATCTTGTTTCCACATTGGCCATCCCACACGGAGGAATAATTAACTAGCTGAGCAGAAATGGCTTATTTTCTGAATGTGGAAACTAGTTCTGGCCTATATGGCACTTTACTGAAATTCTTGCTTCCAGTCTTTTAAAGGGAGTTTTAGGTAAAAGCCTCTTATCAAGGGGGTCTCTGGGCAACACGCCAATTTCCCACTTGGACGGGCAGGTGTGTGTGTGTGTGTGTGTGTGTGTGTGTGTGTGTAGGTTGGGATGAGGATATGTAGTAAGGAGGCATGGTCTTGATAATCATGATAATCAAACACAAAGCAGATTTTCTACATTTCTATAGTTAGAGAATTATTTTTTATTTAGTTGCAGATTTTGTTTTTTAATTTTCTTTTACCTATTCTTTGCAAAATATTCAAAGAGGCTTCATTGTCATGCAATTAGGAAAATTAAGCCTATTTTTCATTTGAGTGAGTGCATTTCATAAATGAAAAGGAGCGTCTAACAATAGTGCATCTCATTCCTGACAGTCTTCCTCTGTTAATTAGCAACTCATTCCTCAGTGGCATCCAGAATAATTAAATTTTTTTAAAATTACATTGGGTTGCTAATCAAGGCTGTGTTTATAGAAAATAAGGGCTTTGGAATTAAACACTGAAATTAAGCATTGCTTCTAATTAGAAGAGTGTAGGTAAAGTAATCTGGAGACAAAACTCTAAGGGGAAAAATCTTAAAGGCTACGTGGTTTAGCCTCTAATCACAATTAGATAAGCCTAGATGTTGAAGATTTTCTAACCTAGAGACTTTCCAACATTTCACAATCCACTGAGTCAAGGATTTCTTTGATGTGATTTATCCAAAGTTTTCACGCAACTTTGAAAGTCCGTTTCCCATCCTCTAACCTTTAATGAAAACAGAAGATTGGTTCATCTGTTTGTTTAATACCTCCAAAGATGTGAAGGGATTCAATGTTTCACTTTTTGCTCTTTATTAAAAATTATTCTGATTCTTTGCTCTCCCCTCAAAAGACAGGTTACTGTCTGCCATCTTTCTTAAGTATAATAGTACCACAGGCATTTATCCAAGGAATTCCTGTCTCTCTTAGCGTGTGTGTGTGTGTGTGTGTGTGCGCGCGTGTGTGTATTATTTATTATATATATGTATATATTTCCAGGATATGCCTATTAAGTATCCTAATGGGCATCTTCACAGTCACAGCCCAGTGAGGTTGTAGGAAAATACAGTTGTAAGGTAACCCTTCATAGCAGCTGTTTCTCAAATTTTGGCTAAGGTAACTACCAGCATAAACATTGCCTGGAATATCAGAAACTTCTGAATCTGAGTCGCTGGCCATTGGACCCGGGAATCTGCAAACTAAATAAACACCCAAGGTGATGACTGTATGCTGGTGTTTGAGAAACACTCTTCTAGGGAAGGAAAGTATTCCTCTATACATTTGACCCAGAAACTATTCTTTGAGCCAGAAATCATTCTTTCTCCTTCCCTCTCCTCTTCCCTTTCCCCAGAGTCCCATATTTAATGCAGCATAGTAAGTAATATGCATGACAGGAGCCTTTATTCAGAACTCATAAGTATGAGTTAAGATGTTTCTTTATCAGTCTCAATCTTCTTAACTCCTCTTTCTTTGAGGGGATGAACTTTTCCCTCCCTCACAGGACTATAGGAGGCAGTGTCCTGTAGCTGCTGGTAGTACAGGCTTTGGGGTCAGACAGACCTAAGTTTGAATCTTTTGTGGGAACTTGGTTACATTTCTCAACCTCTCTAAGTCTCAGTTTCTTCCTTAGTAAAATGCAATTAATAATTTCTGTGTCACAAGACTGTTGTAAGGATTAGAGTTGGTCTTGTATATAAAGAGGTTAGCACAATGTCTGGCCATGGTAAGAGGCCGATAGATACTGAATGTTATTATCCTTGATAAATTTAGCCCAGAGTTGTTCTTCAGTCTCCATAGTTGTTCCTTGAGGAGAAGCACATGGTTAAATGATTCTTCCAATCTTGATTGTCTAGGGACTCTTCTAGAAATTCTGGCATTCAGATTTTCTGAAATAGTCATTTGGGTATAGACAATTGAATGGAGCTAAGAAAACTGCCCAGTTGAGAACAGACATCCCAATAATCTGTATGTACTTTGGCAGGAAGTTTATAAATGTTAAGATAGATTATGGCCATCTTACTGATGATTGAATCAAAACGAAAAGAATTAAATTCTTATTACATGCACCAGGGAGATCATAGACTCTTGATGGCTCTTAAATCATGAGCAGTGTGAGAATCTGATGGAACCTACAAACCATTCCCCCCAAAATGCCAGACACGCACTCCCAAACATTTCTGCATCTAGTTTCAAAGAAGTTCATGGACCCCATGTATTTCATAACAATCCATGGAGCCCCTGCTTTATAAATAGTCCATTAGGAATTAACTGAGATTAATGAGGCTAGATCATTCTTAGATCACTTTCTCCTTATACAGAAATAGAAGGTTTGAAATTTTAGAAGTCAGAGATTAAACTTTTAAAATTTCAGTTCTTAGTCAAAATAAAATTACATCTGTTCAGCTAGATGGGTGTTTCTACTATTCTGGTCACTAGACAAGGATGGGCTAGGTCTGGCTAGTTACATTTGCATGCATTTGATAGGTATTGGGTAGGGAAGACAAGATTTTAAGGATGGTTTTCTTTTACAAGCTCCCTGGAGCTAAAAGCTTGTATCCTAAAATCATAAATATCACGATATTGTTTCACTACCTGTGTGTAACTACTTGCCTTTATAGGACCTTATTTCTTTCACTCTGGACCTCTTACCACCAACCTCAGCAATTCATGTTGGATGATCTATATATGCTGATACCTTCAATTTCAAACTGGAGGATTTTATAAAGGGAAAAGGTTCGAAAAAAATAATCTGATCTGACCCCTCCATTCTATAGATGATAAATTGAGCCCTCTTAATTTGCCTAAGGTCACATAGCTAGTGATACGCCTAGAACTTGAAGCCAGGTGTTCCTTGCACTTTTCACTGCTTAGATTATCTTTCCTCGAATTTGGTTTGGGTCTGCTGACGCCAGTCAAAGCTTGTGTCTTTAGACTTTGCCCTCTGTCCTTCCCCTTCCTGTTACAACTGGACTCAGATTCTGAACATAGCTTTTCTGTTAGATTCAAGAGCTTCAGATTTCCCTGCTTCTGATCGGGCATCTGGATTTGCTCTTCCTTTATCAGTACCTTTCCAGCCCCTCCAAGTAGGTAGACTCTTGATACAAGCCTTACTAGGCATATCTTTCTTAGCCGCTGTGGCCGTTACATAACTGAGATACCAGGGACTAAACCACAACTCCACAGGTGGCTCCAGGGCTCCTGGAGCAATGCTGGACTCTCCTCAGCAGCTGCAGGGCTTTTCCAGCTATGGTCCAGCCCCAAGAGTTCTGTTCTTCTACTACTGTGGACCTCACCTCGCCTACTGAACCTGACATGAAGGAACTGCTTTGTCCTTTCTGTAGAGAATATGGATGTTCTTCTAAGATAAATTCCTTATTAGGAAGGATAATAGTAAGTTACAAGTTTTAACACGTCTTCTATCATGCGGCCACAGCACCTGACTTAACATTTAAAGATTTCTCACCACACAACATCAGAACATTTTTTCCTCTGTATTAAGTGTTAGACTATTGAATAACTATTATGAAGGGAAAAATGTTGCTAAATCTCTTTTTGGTAACATACACTAAAATAAATTCCAGGGGGATTTAGAACATAAATATGGTAAAAGAACCATAATAAAAGACATATAAATAAATGTGTATATAATTTGGAGTTGTAAAGATTTTTCTGAGCATAAAAAGGAAAAAAACCTTAAAGAGACTAACAAAGATAACTGTATACATATTAACTTCATTACATTAAAAATTACATGTAAGTAAAATTAAAAGGTAAATGTCAAACTAACCAAGCATTAGTAGCTTTTCTAACTAAGGCCATAAAACAAAATCAAGGTCATAAACAGTCACAGATGATAAATGGCAAAAGAATATAAAATATTGAGCTTCATTAGTAATGAAATAAAAGCATATAGAGATGAGATGCCATTTTCACCTAACAAAGTAGCAAACATTTTAAAAGATAATAAAAGTAGGTTTGATCAGGGTTTAGGAAACTGGCACTCTCACACATATACGGCTGGTGGGAATACAAACTGGTACCATCTTTATCAACAGTAACTTGTCAATATGTATCAAAATCATTAAAACATGCATGCCCTTTGACCCAAAAATTCCAATCGTAAGTGTTTATCTTAAGGAAATTATCAGAAATGATAACTGATATCTATGGACAAGGGTGTTTGAGAATGAAATGGCCTTAATAAAATTTGCATTTATATAATGGTATACTACAAAAAGATAAAAGTCCTGTTTTTAATTCTCATGTCCCCTGATATGTTATATCAGCTCTAGAGTGGGGCTTATATAATCTAAAAAAAAAGGATGTTTTTTAAACTTATTATTCCTAACACTACCCACAGGAAATTATCTGGACAAAGTCTTTCTTGGTGGGAATAAACAGAAGTGAGAAGGCCTTATAGCTGAGTGGTAGGAGGACTGGGGAGGAATGAGTGGGAGGAGAGCATGAGTTTTTTTAAAGTCAAGGAAGATTGATTTAGATATGAGAAAGTGCTCTTAATATAGGTGGATTAAAAAAAAACTACAAAATAGGGCTTCCCTGGTGGTGCAGTAGTTGAGAGTCCACCTGCCGATGCAGGGGACACTGGTTCATGCCCCGGTCCAGGAAGATCCCACATGCCGCGGAGCGGCTGGGCCCGTGAGCCATGGCCGCTGAGCCTGCGCATCCGGAGCCTGTGCTCTGCAACGGGAGAGGACACAACAGTGAGAGGCCCGCGTACCGCAAAAAAAAAAAAAAAAAAAAAAAAATTACAAAACAGTGTGTGAATTAAGATTCCAATGTTGCAAGATAAGTGTGTGTATTAAATCTACATTGAGATGTTGACAGGAAAAGAGCTTATTTTTTATTATTTTTTGTAGTTTTTCACTGTAACCATATATTCAGAAAAAATATATATGCTATGAAAAAGAAGGAGAAACAGCTTTTTACAGGTGATTAGACGCTTTCTGGGCCTTACTTTGCTTCCAGGGCCAGAGCGAAGATACCAGCAGCCAGGGGTGCTGAGGCAGAGGTGCCTGTGTGGGTCTCTGTGCAGTCGTTGTGCAGGTCAGCACTCGTCTGAGGGGCACCAGGAAAGAAAGAAACATGGGAGAACATGTGAGGAGTGTGATCCTGTCCCCGGGGGTTAGCCCTACCGAGGGCTGCATCTGTTAGGATCAGGAAGCCCAGCTGATTCGACTCCCTACTTCCTCCTCTAAACTACAGGCGGATGTTTGCCATCTGCTGATGTTTTAGCTCACTCTCCTCTATACGCAACTTGTCTATAATTCTGGCATCAGAATGCCTTTTTCTGGGGATGAAGTCCTCCCACTATGAATTTTTTTTCTCTTCTGAGATTCCCAAATGAAACGCTGTCTGTAAGAAAGGGAGTGTTTCAAAATCACTGTGAATCATGCTGGCCCATTAATCATCAGGTCCATTGTGTTTGGCCTGGCATATTTAGAAGTTTTGCCCCAGGCACAATTCCCTTTTGCCTTCAGATTGACATTTGACTGCCTCTTCAGCACGAGGAGGTAAAGCCATCCTGATCTGGGCCACTTGAACTATTTGCACAAAACATGTCTAGTGTGTGGTTTGCACTCACTGTTGACGTAATCTGATGGCCATGAGTTAGTGTCACATTTGTACTTTGATGAACATGGCGAGTTTTTCAAATGAAAGTGTGCTGGACTTAGATCTGGGCTCAAATTCTAAACCTGCCACTCAGTAGATGTGTCCCATGGGCAAGCCACTTGGTTTCCCCATCTGTCAAATGAGGTTGATATTTCTCGACTCCTCTTCTGAGGCTGAAATGAGATCCTGTCTGTGAAAGCATTTTCACACAATGTGATTGCACATAAGGAATTACCCAGGCTAATTTTAGCTTAGTGAAGAGGTTGCTGAGATGAAGGGAGGAAACCAGAGAGACTTCCCATTAGTCTGCCTGAGGACCACAGTGTTGTTGGTTGAACAAGTACTTGGGCCAAAGGATTACTAACAAGACACCCACCCAGGCTCTCACACTATGATTTTTAGCTAGAGATTTCAAGGTGTGGGAGGGAGGTGCAAAAAAAACAATTTGTTCTATTATCACCTCCTTTGGCTTCCCACTTGGAGTCGCTGAATATCTCAAGTTCTGGTGGCCCTGTTCCTCTGGGGGCTGCGGAAGCAAGGTTACCCTTTTTACCTGTTGACGCAAGTAAGCCCCAGAGATGACTGTGCTGAGGAAGAGGTTTGCGTAAGACAAAGGCTATGTTAGTGCAACTGTCTCAAATAGAATCCACCAGCTGTCTCTTCTATGGCTCATTTACCTAAGGAGGGATCTTTACAAAGATGGAAATTCTTCCTCCTGCTTCACAGCAGAGTGGCTCAGATGAGGGACCGTCTATGAAATGGTGACTCTGAAATGGACCACAGGCCATTTTTTGAAAAGCCACTCTGAACACCCACAGGGTCATCAAGAGCCAGGGGCTGTGAATGCAAGTGGGGCACATGTCTGGTAGGCTCCTTTACAGCAGGGTATAAGATATACCTGCCGTAAAGAACCCCTAGGTAGAATGTTACTGTCTCTTTGAGTAATTGAAGATATGGGCATGAGAGGTAGGCCAGGGCTTCTAAGTTGAGACCATAGTTTTACTGTCTAAACTACAGTAGGTTGCAGAAACAGGCAGTTCCGGAAGAGTGATCCTGCATCAGAAGGATCAGAAGATCGTAGTTCTGACAATTTTGTTGAGATGCCATTAATATGAATTTTACACACATTCCAAAGGCTAATTATTAGGCAGGTTACCCACAATCTAATTGGATCATGACCTGCTTTTTTATTGAGATTAGGATCTACATACTTTAGCTGGTTAGTTCTTTCTGTGTCAGGAGTTAAGTTTGAGGCTTTCAATTTTTAAATGAAAAGAAGTGCCTCTCTTTGTTCTCAAAGCCCCCGAATGGGCCTTCATCATCATGCCCTTGAAGGGAAATCCAATAATTGCCCTTGGCAGTCTGACTCATGGAAATGAAGGCACAGCCAAGCGGGGGCTGGAGATGTTCTCTGAGCATATAACCTTCCTAAGCTCCTTATTTGGATGCTGAGAAGTTCACCTCAGGGGAAATTTAGACTGTTATTTTCCTGTAGGTCGTCCATCCTTAGGATACATAGCTGGTGTGTGCTCTGTATTTTTCTCATCTGCTAAAGGGCAAGTCAGACATTTTCCCTGCTATTAAAGGATCAACAAGTACAAGGGTGATAAAGCTCCAACAACCCTAAAATCTCCTTTAAGGCTGTTTTCAGGGAGGCATCACACAAGCTGAACAGACATTTGGAGTCTCGGCCATATGTAATGACAGATTGGTGGCTTCTCAGGGCTGAGTTTAAAAATGACTGAGAGGCGACATCATTTTGGCAGAAGCGTCATTACCCCTGGGAGAGAAAACTTCCCAATATATACCCACCCTTCAAGTGAGCAAAGTGTGAGTCTCCCCAACTGAGACATGAAGCTTAAGCAAATCAGTTTGACCAAAGGATCCTTTTGAAGGCGAGCCGTGTTCTCCTACCTAAGCAGAGAGAGTTAGACAAAAGCAACCTACGATTCGCTGGTCGGTGTAATCCCCGCTGCTGTACGAGGTGGCCAGCGTAGAGGAGCACTTCTCAGCGTACCAGGGGGATAGGCCTTGCTGCGAGGCACTGCTGATGGAGATGGTGTAGATACTGTCCGTGTACCCATCACAGTCACAGTTATCTCCCTGACGCCCCCCATTCCCAGAAGCCCAGACGAAGATAGAGCCCTTTCCTTGTCTCCCCTAAAGGAAAAGCCAAAACATATCACGTCTATTATCATCACTGGGGTCACTGTCACATCCCAATAAAATCCCCAACAAATATATAAATACATGCATGAAGTTCTCAGAAACAGTAATTCGGAGTCTGTTTCAACTCCAGGTCCTCCAGCATCGATACTGGAACTCTCGCGAGACTGTATGTTATAAGCCACTGAGCTCTAGTGCTGCCAGCCCTCCTCCATCTGGGCCCTCTCTGGGATGGCGCTGAGTGAGGACTTTTCTCTTTTCCCTTTATTATGTGGATTCATAATCTGGCCTTCAGCACTCACTCGAATTTCTTCACTGTTCCCTTGGCTTATGTCACTACGCTTGAATCTTTGAACTTCCTTTCTTTCTGCTTGAATCTTCTGGCTGACTGATAGAATGACAAAATCAGGCATTATTCAGATCTGCTTTGCAGCTGCATTAAAAGGGACTCTTCAATTGAATGGAACTCGTCAAGGCTACCCTTTCTATGATTTTTCAATTTGTGCTCTCCAAAATTCGTACTTTTGTTTCATCCTGTGCAGAACGAGGCCTTAGAATCCTGGCAAGAATGCACTCAACCCCAGTGACAGAGAAACACAACCAAGGCACAAGTATTCATCAGGCACGTGCAGAGAGGGAGGTGGCACATTGCTATATTTAAGGATGCATTTTCAGAGTATTTGAAAGAAGTCTGGGTAGTAGTTTACCTCATGTAGAAATCCAAAAGCAGCAGGAAAATGAGAAAGGACATATCCAGAGTATTTTTGAAAGTCAATATTCTAAGACTAATGAATATCTGTTGAATGTCAGACCCAAATGGGGAAAACTTTCTTAACCCTTAACTTCCATCCCTTTTAAGAACGATTTGGCCCTCTAAATGCACTTCAAACCATAAACAATAACAAGAAGTTCACAACCATTTCTTTGCATATAAACTAAGTGTCCTTCCCTTCTCCTCATAGTCAAATGGTCAGGTTTCATTTCAAGTGGGTCTGTGTTAAGCATCTCACCTGTTTGACACCATATTCAAAAGCCTTCTGGGCTAGTCGGCCAGGCCCCTCCACAGTTTTCCCATCATCATTAGGGCCCCAGCTCGCACTGTAAATATCCACATGTCCAGGATTAAATCCAATTGAGCTGGCTTCAATAGCATCCGTCACAATGCCATCGAGCATTCTTATCCCTGAACAGCAAAACAAATACATATGCTGATGTCAGTGTGTACGTGTAGAATGGCACGATGCTCTTAATATTCATTTTTTTAAAGGACTCCCAAAAGAGTCAAAAATAGGTAACCAGTGTATGTCCCAAATGACTGTGACCCAGCTGCTAAAAGCACAGCAGGGAGATCAAGTCACCGCCTGCATAAGCTTCCTTATGTGCTGTGCCGTGCTGTGGCCATGGTTGTTGTCGCTTACAAAACGTCTCCCCTCCCTCTGCTGCCCTGATAAACTGAAAATGACAGGATAGCTTTCAGCAAGAGGCATCAAACAGCTCTCTCTCAACATGCCTGCTCATGACTATACCACGAATGGCTGTGGCCCGGTCAGTGCCTTACAGAGGACTCTGTACGGAAACCGTGCAGCTTGAAAAGATCTACTTACAATAGGAAACTCACAAATAGTGAACAAACTCTTGTTTGTAAGCACTGATTAAAAATAACCCAGAGGCCATTCTTTTATGTGTCTGCTAAGAAACATTTTCAGGGAACATGCTTCCTTTTCTTCTAAATAATCTCAAGGATGAAATCATTGCCATGGATTTTACTCCTGAGGGGGAATCAGTTTTCATCAGGAGAAGGCAGATGCAGTGGCTCTATGCTTTCCAGCAGCCTGTCACCCATCATCAGACTCGTGTATTCAAGAGCCAGGAAGGCAAAAGCAATTTAGACGGATACAGGCAGCTACCTGGTTATTCCTGGCTTCAGGCTAATGATGCAATGGAGTGCACAGCTTTATATTTTCACACTATTGTTTACTATGGAGCTTGGGTAAAAGAACATGTAGTTGACATGACTAGTAGAAGTTACATTTATTTTTAAAAAATTGTTTAAAATGCATTTGGGAAAAAAATCCCAGCTCTGCTATTTACTAGCTCTGTGATCTTGGGCAAGCCACTTAACTTCTATGTGCCTCAGTTTCTTCAGCTGTAAAACGCGGATGACAACAGCTCGTGTGCATTGAGGATATACTATATGCGGCTACCATTGTACAGGCCTTAAACATGTGAACTCATTTATCCTTATGACAACCATTTGAGGTGGGTGCTGTAATTCTCCCCCTTTTACAGGGAGAGAGACTGTGGCCAGAGAGGGACAGGGACTTGCCCAAGGCCACACAACTTGCAGCTGGGAAGCTGGGACTTGAATCCCAGAAATCTGGCACTCAAATCCATCCTGTTAACTTCCAGGATGTGGATAATGTCTTGGAAGGTAAATGATGGACATACAGTAGGTGTGTTTTGGTTTCCTTGAGAATCTTGCTTCTGATTCCTCCTCTATAAAATGAAGGGATGAGATGATTCTCTCACAGACTATAGCTACTTAGTTCATCATTACTTAAAAGTGCATTCTTTTTCTAGGTGATTATGTAATTTTTGCTCCTGCCTCCATTTTCTTTAAATTAACATGGCGTTTTGACGATGCTGGTATAAAGGAATCAAGAATGACCCTTAAAATCTAGGAGTGTGCTGTAATAGTGAGAGATGCATTCTATATGCTAGGATGTATATTTATTTGGTTCCGAAACGGAATACAAAGCCAGATTCAAGGTATACTCAGGTAGAGCTTAAAGGAGTTTTACTGTCATTGCCATGTTCTACAATGAATCTTTTTTGTTGTGGTTTTAGAAAACAAACTAAATGCAAAATTCATAGTATAACCATGAAAGCCTGAGGCAGGGCTAGTGTGAAGAGGAGAGACAAGTGTTTTATTCTCTGTGAGCCCCTGCAGATCCACTCTGCACCCTTCTTCACGGGAACATGGACGGCAGCAGTGGGTTCTTTTGTCTTCCCATTGGTTTCAGCCAACTGAAACAGCAGCAGGAGGTTTGGGGGTGAGGGGAGAGTGAGGTACTCATTCCTGGATCCCCCCTGCTTAGAAGCAGCTCCATTGTTGTACTCATGGCCACAGCTCCTGTCCAGTGGCTGTCTCATGTGGTCACAGCTTTCTCTCTCCAGTTTCCATGACTACTCCCCCCCTTGCTCCATTAAGTCTAAAGGTGGTAACATCTGCTTACATCAGTTAGTCCCTTGTTGGTTTCTTTTAGCTCTTGTAAATAGTTCCTTTATTAAATTGCCCTGATGGAACTTACCATATGCTTACCTATAAAGACACTGACTGAAACAACCAGAGATTCTGAATTTTTGCTACCACAGATAACCTTTGGCTTCTTTCTATAAGAAGTATGTATTCTTTTTATTGTTTTTAACTGTTCTTTGTTATGAACTAAAGGACTACAGAATTGAGAGGCAGGGAAAATCTTTGCCTAAATTTACCTCCTCCTTCTGTTCTCTTAGCAAGCACTCAATAACAAACTCTTCTAAATCAGAACACAGAGAAAATTAGATTTGCTTCAAAAGCTATTCAACAATTCCTTTTCCCACCCAACAAAGACGTATGGGCTATATTCAGCTATCATTTTCTAAGAATCCAGGTCAATTGATTTGCTTGCAAATCACATTCAAGTCGTGTAGCAAATTTTGCATGGAGTTCATTTCTTCCTCTGGTTGTTGGAAAGTCCCCCCACACCACCCCATTTACACCAGGTAATGCAAGACTCAAATTAAGGTGCAAAACTACAGGAACAACCCTTTGCTTTACCTCCAACTTTGGAATTGTATGCAACTCCGACCCCACACTTGTGATTATTTGCTTGCATGGCAATTTCTCCTGCACATCTGGTCCCATGTCTGAGGATTAGAAAATAGGATTTATAAAACGTAAATGAGGACAGACATTGGTGTTGCATATGAATCCATGGTACGTGGATATGTTAACTTTTTGTCAGGCTTGTTGCTGGTTTTCTTCCCATCGGCATTAGATGAAGTGTAGGTATCAGATGAAGGGAACACGTACTGGAGCCCAAGTATATGAGTTCAAGTTCTATCTTCCGCCACAAACTAGTGATGTGACCTTGGGTAAGTTACTCGTCCTCAAAGAATTGTGGCATCCCATGAAAAATTGTATGCAGAACACTTAGGAAAGTGGCTGGTATATAGTAAGAACCCAGGAAGTGTTAGCTATTGATACCATCTCAAAGAAATGGTTTCTGTACCAGAATTTTGGTGTTAAAATGACTCCTCACTTCCCCTCACTAGTGACTTCCTTGGATTAGTTTAACCTGTACAAGTCCTAGTAGGATGTGTAAAACAGAGCCCCCTCTCAAGCCCTCCTCTCCTCCTCTAACCATATACCAGACTAAAACATCTGAAGGTTTCCTGGTACCAAGAGGATTTTGAAATTTTAACAGGACACTACAGGCTATTTGGGAAACCAGGGTGCTCCTGCAACTCTGACTGGGACCAGAAACCTGAACAAGACTAGTTTTGCAACTAGGGACAATGAGGGTAATTTATGATTTCAGAGTGTTTGGGGAAAAAAAAAAAATCCATCTCTAAAACAGACCAAAGTCCACCATTAAAGTATCAATTCTGAAATTCTGGGGATAGTGATTGTCTTTTCCCATCACTTCCCTGACCTCAGGAGGGTCAATAAGTTGAGAGAAACTTTAATGTGAATTTGTTTACTTCATGACTTTATTCCATTGTGGAAGCTCCTGGGAGCAGCATGAAGGCTGTTAGTGCCTTGGAGGAGCCACTGACCAGATATGCTGACATAGAGGAAAAAAGAGGAAGGGTTAGCTCTGAGCAACTCTGTCAGCCAGCTCCCTTTGAACACTACTGTACTTGACATCAATTAATTTAGCCCAGCATGAAATATAAAAATCCTAAATTGACTGGGTCATTTAAAATAAGCCTGTTTCAATCCCTGGTCTGGGAAGATCCCACATGCCACAGAGCAACTAAGCCCGTGCACCATGACTACTGAGCCTGCACTCTAGAGCCCGTGAGCCACAACTACTGAGTCTGCATGCCTAGAGCCTGTGCTCTGCAACAAGAGAAACCACTGCAATGAGGAGCCTGCACCTCGCAACGAAGAGTAGCCCCCGCTCACTGCAACTTGAGAAAGCCTGCGCGTAGCAACAAAGATCCAATGCAGCCAAAATTCAATACATTAATTAATTAATTTTTAAAAATTGCCATCTCTCAAACCACTAAAAAAAGTTTAAAAATTCTAAATATTGATACTTGATTTATTTAATACTTGTATTATGAATTAAAGAAAGAATAATTCCTAAGGAAAAAAATAAAATAAAATAAGCCTGTTTCACTTATCTTTTTTTCCTAAAATACCAAAGATGATTTCCTGTTCTCCTTCCACTAAATGATGTTCCTCCTTTATGTTACTACTGGATAGGAGTTCTAAGTCAGAACAATGTAATTATCTTTAATTCACAGTCTTCCCTAATGTAGCAGGCACGCACTTCTTTTTGGTCTTCTAGCATTTCCCCCTTTTGGGAAGTGGCCCTCGCTCACTTCTTGTGATTCTCTATCATGAGGCTTGTCCTCCCAGAGAGCATTTCAAGAATTGATGCAGATTCTGGGGGAAAGAATTATATTCTTTCTCAAGAATCTTCAGCTTTAAGTTCCACGTGAGCCATGTGGATCTTGCTACCAGGCAGTGTTCTATTGAGAATGAAGCTAAGTGGAGGTGAGCAGCACTAGGAGATGGATACAGAGTAATTGGTGTCCTGATGGCATACTATTTGAGTTTCTGGATCTTGCAATGCTTGAAGCTGAACATCTCTTGGGGAAAATATTTTCATATCTCCATTTTACTTAATCTTTGTGTTAGGATTCTCTCACTTGCAACTGAAGCTCTCCTGACCAACACACCCATTCTCTGAGAAATGTATGCATATTGAACACATAGAAGGCACCTTATGCCTGTGGATTAGCCTTCTTTCCTTTTGTGGAAGGGAAAGTTCATTTGCCATCATCGGGGAAATATGCTACCAGAAGTCACCACCACCTGTATTTCCACTTACACAAGATGAAAGACAGCGCCCAAGATAGCAAAGTCTCCAGGTAGAGCCTACAGAATCAACCTGTTGGCAAACATCTCCAGCATTGTACCTCTGTCCTAAAAATGATTCAGTATGACACTACCTATTATTTATCTCTCTTTATATAGTGTTTATCTCTCTTTACATAGTACTATTTTCTTAAAATGTGCAGGATCGTGGTACAAATAGGGGTTGATATCTTTGCCTCCTCTTATCCTCACTTCTCACCTGCACACCTTGAGAAAAAAAGACTTTATTAAAGTGGTTCTATATCATTCTTCCTAGACCTGCAGTTTTCTTTCCTTAAATCAGGCTCTGAGATAAAAGAACACTCTATTATCTTAGAACAATGGTTATAACTGGCATTTAAACAAATTGATTTTTAAAAAATTTTTCCAGAAGATAATTTAAAGACTACTATTGTACTAGTTAAAATATCCTTGCCACACATGTTATAAAATAGAAGAATAATCTGTAATTGGTGTTGAAATACTGATCACAAATTCATGCCAGATTAGTAGTAAGAGTTACCTGCACTTTTAAGATTTTGTTATTTAGTGATTCCTCATTTGATTTGCAGAGGAGAATTCAAATGTAGCTTTTATTAACCTCATTTACATAGTAATAAAGAACAGCAGCAACACAGATAGTTTGGAGAGATAATGCCCTTGGAATTGGGAGATAATAGGTCTCTAGCTGCTATAAAGGCCAAGACAAAATGGGGCCATTCATTTTCTAAACCTAAGGGATTTATTTCTGACAATATGCTAGAAGGGTAACTCTACTTTTATTATACATTTTGATAAATGATGGGGATGCTAGCTTTTTGGTTGATAGTCAAGAGGACCGTGAGAGATAGCTGCTTATTGTGTAATTTTCAAATAGCAGATTCTGAATTGGCTTAGAAAATTGTCTCTGCTTCTGCTCTTATCAGATGATACTATTCTTGTCATGCTTTTCTTCTCAGTGAAAGGAGGTCTACCTTAGTTGCTAAATGAAAAACCTTGATCATTATCGTCATCATAGCACACATTTAACCTTTTCTATATACGAGGCACTATCCAAGCCAATTACATATATAAACTTATTTAATCCCCCTAAGAACCCAATGAAGTAGGTACTATTATTACCTCTTTAGTAGATGATAAAACTAGTCACAAAGAAGTTAAAGAATTTGCTCAAGGTCACTCACCTACTAAGTGGAAGACCTAAGATTTGATCTAAATCTAGCTGCAAAGTCTGTGCTCTCTCGTTTGGCCATGCTACACTAACTATGCTATGTGCAAGGTCCACGGTCTGCTGTGCTCTGGAAGCTCAGAGTTTTCAGGCACAAAATACATACAATTATGGGTTGCTTCCTTGGGGCCTTTGGAACTCTGTGAATTGGGGGGAACGTGGCTATTATCAGTACCATAAGTTGAGAGTCCCCTTTTTTGGGGGGGAAGGGAAGAGGGACATCTGAATTCCCCTTCTCATGAGTACAAAACTCTAGAGAATGTCATTTCACCAGGTATTCACCTATCATGCATCTACCACACAAGTTATCACCCACTTTGGATCCTGGGCCAGACCCAGTACACACTGCCTAAGAAGAAGGCTGACACCTTCAGCTAACAGTCTCCTCAGCTGTGCCCATGTGGTCGGGAGCAGATTTCCCTCTTAGTCTTGATCAAGGGGATGGATTGAGAGTTGTCATTTTTACTTCATTCTAGGAAGAGTGTCCTTTTCTTCCAAGCACTTACTGCCCATTTCCTTAGGAAGCTTCTTTTAGGAGGGTAGGGAACAGATACCTTGTCACCATTTTAGGAGACGAAATAAAAAATAGAGGCAGAGTGAGATGGGTGATTTCCTCAAGGTCATCCTCCCTCCTGGTAATTGGCAAAGCCATCACTACCAGGCAGGCTAACATTACAAGGTCATGCTCTAAAAGAACATGTGTTCCTCCTGGTCTTGCACAGCCCTCACTCAGAAATATGGCTGAACGTTTGTCTCGGGGGGTCCTGCTCTAAGTTCCTGAGATATCCCACTTTCCTCCAAGGGTGCCCTCTCATGGTTCCTTTTGTATTGTTACTGGAATGTTCTAACCTCAAGGGCTGTTTGCTGTTAACCCCTTTAAGAGATAAACCCTAAAAGAAGTAAATGGTACTGAAAGAACCCTCCCCAAGCCTCCCCTTCCCCTCAAGGAAGAAATATACACTCGGAAGTTGAGGCCAAGTCCTGGAGCCCCAGCCTCCCTTCCTGGGGTTTGTTGGCCTCCTGGAGGACAATCCGAAGTAACAACTTTAGGTCAACATTACTACACCAGCCACAAGGGAATTCTGAGAAAATAAGGGAGAAGGGGAGAGGGAAACTGAGAGCAAGAGAGAGAGAACTCTATTGACCCTAATTGGTTAATAATCTGAGAGAGGAAGAAAGAAAAGGGAAGCACTTTATGTGGCATCCACAAAGAGCTTTTCACTACTTGCTCTTTCCATCCCCACTTGTAGCAGCACTCATTTTGCCTTGGCTTTCATCTGCTTTGGTGCAAGTTTCTTTTGGGTGGAGCAGATGAAGAGGAAAGTGTGAATGTCTCCTTGAAGTCTGTGAGAGACATCATTATGCACAAAGGTGAGTTTTCACATGGGCATGGACACTTGAGGCTGTGTGCCTAGAGGGTGAAGTTCCTTTGGAGCTAAGAAAAAAAAGGTTAAAATGTCTCTTGCCTTTGGGTCTTTATTTGGCCTCTTGCTTCGGTGGGTCTGGCTCTTGGCCTCACTCGTCACCTTGTGGCTGCTATGGAGAGTTAATTTAGGAATCAGAAGATATCCTTTTTCTCTTCCCTTTAGCTTTAGAATACCCAGCAGAAATTCTGGAACAGGCTACTAATTAGCCCAATGCCCCGGAGACTGTGTTGGATTTGAGGGCCAAGCCCATGGTATATTTCTCGTCTGGTGCCTTGTCATATTCTTCTGAGGGAAATAGTGAGCATGGTTGTGGCCAACATAGGAAGTCATGGGGATTTGTTACCTTGGTCATCTATATTTCTCTTCATGACTAACATCAAGCATGTTGCTAGTAATAAACGATTCATAGAGGAATTGGGGGCGGGGGGGGTGGACTCAGATTTTTATTCTTTATGTCTCAAACAATTTTTTTTAAAGCCATAACTATTCAGTAACATTTGAGGGGAACATTTCATAATGTAAGAAGAAAGTTTAATTGAAATATGGTTCTATAAGCCCAAAGGAATATATAAATAGAAACTTTTGTTTCTGTTTTAAAAGCAACAAAATATTGTGGTATGGATGGTGTACATGAACATTTTCTGAGAGCTCAAATGTGGATTATATTTATAGTGTAATTTTCTCAAGTAAGATAAAAGCATTTTAAAACACTTACCCCCACCCCCAAATCCACATTTACTCACTTGTTCTCATTTGTGGGATCATATCGGGGAAATGGATCATGGTCATTATCGTTAAAATCATAGCTAGCCTCTGGATCCTAAAGAGAAAACAAAAATAACACTGTAGCATCATAAAAAAAGCAGTACTTTCGAGTCTTCTATCCCTATCCTATTTCCATCCTGGCTGATAGCTCGAAAGTCTGAATTTTAGAGTTTCTGGTCCAGTTTCTGATCATTTATCATCCCCATAAACCAGGCAGAGGTGATATACACAGAAAAGTGAGCCATCATCCAATTCTCAGTGAATGTTTCCAAACCTCTAGCTCATAGACTCTCATAGGATATTAGAACAGAAGGAGTCAAAGTTTACTTAGTTCAACCACCTCATTTTCCAAATGAGAAAATTGAGGCCCAGAGAATTTGAATGGCTTAATTAAGCTAGAGCCCTAGTTAGTGACACTTTGATGCTCATCTTTCTTAAGAATATAGGTGCAAAGAGCTGGCTGTGGGCTGGGGCTCAGGTCTACAGTGATCTCCTTCAGCCTCCTCAGTTAAAATAAACATGTAATTTAATTAAAGAGGCTGTGCTTGAAATTCAAGACAAGCTTCCAGGTCCCACCCCTCTTTGCAATCAGATTGCTACACTTAAACATCTTCCACGTAAGAATTGTATCACTACTACTGCTACTTCTCTATATTTTCCATATCTTTTAATAATTCCTAATCTTTTTCATCTCTTCTTTTCCTTCCTGTTTCCTTTGCTCTTTAGCTGGGGAATGTTGGTTGAGTAGAAAGGATGAGAGAAAGACAAGGGGCAATATTCAAGATGAAACACTGATTTAAAGACCTAAAATATTATGGAGAACTTCATAACCAATTAAGTAAATAACTTTCATTTACTTATTTCCCATTTTTAGTAAACTTTTCTCAGCTTGTCATTTTTGTATTGTGTAGTGCACGCTTTCATTTGCATGGAAGGAATCACGTTCACATAACTTCACAATGTGAGAGATATTGACCCATAAGGGATGTCAGCAGGAAGACTGTGAAAATGGTCTCAGGCATCAGGCTTGATTTGATTGCTTTCATGTCCCCAAATACTGAGTGGCATAGAGTTTGAATGGCTTTTAATAATTTAGCTGATGTTAAGTGCCTCCCCCTACCCCAACACACATGCTTTTGTACAATCCTTGGCTCCAGCAAATTCTTTCGATGCCCAGTGATACAAAAAAAAAAAAAAAATTTATGTGCACTGGCAGAAGGGTGAGGGAAGTGGCAAAACCGTGGCCCGTCATTACCAGGGCTGACATCAGAGTAGCCTCCTGCTTGAGGGAAGCAAAGTCCTAACTGTGTGTCAGTGTAGACAACTCCCTAAGTTGCAGCAATGGGAGGGCTTAGACTCACATAGTTGGCATAGATGTCTGTGTGATTCCACTCCAAGCCATCATCCAGTACAGTGATAACAACTCCTTTGCCTGTGATGCCTTTTTGCCAAACAGGTATCACATGGAGGTCCAGCTTGGGCAGGGCTGCAGTCATCCTAGTATCTTGCTGATAAAGAAAAACCAAGAAGCATCGGGAAAACCATGATTTGTTTGCTGCAAAATAAGAACTGAAGCTCCAGTCTGGAGACCCATCTTTCTTCTTCCTGGGGTCACTCTATTCGTTAGAAGCGGGCAATTAGGTGAAATAAAAAAACAAAGTTAAGGGTAAGACCAAGTGAATCATCAGAGTGCTGCTCTTTTTCCAGTTGTTCCAATGGAAAATCACTCAAAAGGATGAATCACCCTGTGCCCCTTGTCTTTGAGCTGCGTGGCTTTGAAGAAGTTCATCCCTAAGTTGCTTTCATTTATAATTACATGCTCAAGCTCTTCATCTACCAAAGCTTTATTTGATGTCCCATGTTTCCATCTCCCCCCCAAATCCTGAGCCTCCACTGCCAAACTGAATGTACTTTATATTGTCTGGTTCACAGCTCTTCATGGATGTTTTTATAAATTTTCTAAAAGAAAAGACAGAACCTGGAATGCCCAGGAGGCTGTGGTCTTACCAAGACTTGCAATCTAACTGCCTATGTCCAAGTATTAGTGATTTAGGGAGTAAGTACCTGTGAGAGAAGATTTGGGATTTGTTTTCAGATAATTTTTCTGTTAGTTACTGTATGTGGGACTGTAAGGAAGAAGAGCTAGACAGCAAGGGAACACAGATATGAGCACATCCCCAAGCATTCAAGAGAGTTGCACTAGAAGAATGCCTGCTTTTTAGTGAAGAGGTCAACAAGATATTTATAAATAACAACAATCAAAAGTATCAGTGAATGCATTGGCCCCTGGCTGATGCTCCTCAGAAAGAGGCGGGGGCAAAACAAGAATTTACTAGGCCAACATGAAGCTGAATCACAGGAGGCTGGAACTACACACAGATTGTTGGCCAACGCCAGAGAAGAAGGACTCTCTGTCAGTCAGAAGAACAATCATATGGTGTGGTTGTTAAGAATATGGCCTCTGGAGCCATGAATTATGCCCCCTCCACTATAATTACGTGATTTTGGCAAGTTATTCAACTTGCCAATGTCTCTGTCTCTTCATCTGTTAAATGGGGATACTTACTATACCTACAACAAAATGTTGTGTGAGAACTAGATGAGTTAACTCACGTCAGACATTTAGAATAGTATTTGACACATGGCAAATGCACCAGTGTTAGCTAATGAGTCTCTCCTGCTGCAAGGAGTAGGTATTGCCTAGGTTAAGAGAGTTTTAAGAGGAGTTGATCTCCTTTCCCATCCATTATGCAACAAGGATGTCTAAGCGTTAGCTCATGGTTGTCATGAAAATTCATCTTTTATAATATTCTCAACAATAAACACTTCTATTCACATGTATTACTACGATAGAGGCTTAACCTTAAAACAGAGGAGAGCGCTCCGTAGGCAAGCAGGAACGCTTACAGTTTCTCCACTAGGTGCCTGCATTCCAACAAGGATTTGATAACTATCTTAAAGGTAGAACTGGTTCGCAAGTCTAGACATCTGCAGATAGATGCCTTTTGTCTTTCCTTGTGTTCCTTCCTTTAGCCTAGTTCAGAAATTCTCACCTGTAAGCGTGTGCAAATTGCCTCTCAGGGCTATATTTACTGAATCATGTTCACTGTACTCTTTGGGTGATTTAAAGGGTTCTCAAGAGTAACTTTGATCAAATATGTTTTTTTTGCCATGAGTACTGTTTTGGAACCCCTAACTTGCAAGACATGATTCTCCTGTACTTATTCCAGATAAACTTAAGAAGACAAAAGGCAACAACCCTTCCTCTCATAGTAGCTAAAGATCTGTGTTTCAGACATCCTCACATAGTAAAACAGAAGATCCAGATCATGGAAGGTCCCGTCAACCCTAATCTCTAGGTAACACAGCCCTCTGCTGAATTATCTATCATTAAAAAAATCTGTTGTGCAGATATAACAAATATCCCAGGTCCTACACAGTCCTCCTGTAGGTACTTACCAAGTACCACTGCTGATTCCACATCGGATCATTGAAGAGATCTAGTGCTGAGTCTCTTAGAACTGAACGTTTACTTCTCTCTTTTTCATACTGTTGTTCAGCCCATAGCACCTACAAGGAGTTTTAGAGCAAAAACATCAACCAATACCCGCCTCTGGCGTAATTATCTTCCCTCTAACTAGCTCTGGTACTCTCTCCATCAGAGTTCAGGCAGCCCCACGGTGTTTTCGTTTGACTATAGATCAAACTGGCAGCTCAGTGAGAAGAAGGGATTGCCCACTGGTGAGATGAACATGTCCTCTCTTACAGTAAAATGTACCTTTAGGGGGAGGAGAAGCAGTCAGTGAAGTGATGATTCCCTCAAATTATTTACACTGTGATTACAGTGGAAGTAAAAGTTCACCCTGCTTTCATCAGCGAATGGACCATATTACTCACTTTTATATTGAGGTTCCAGGGTTCTGTGGCAGAAAATTTGCGCATTTTCGTGGAATGAGTCAACAAGCTAAGAGATCCTAGAGACTGCTGTCATGTTGCTCTTACAGCTTAATTTCTCTTTCTTTATATACAAAAATAGAAATTGCAAATGTGACAAAAGACAAGAAAGGCGCTATGTCTTGGCAGATTTGAAATTCTGCCTCCTCTATTCTTCAACCTTCTGTTTAAGTGTATTTAATATGAGAAACAGATCCAGGGTGATGAATGAGCACTACTGACCGTACACACTTACCATTGATTTAGTTTCATGTATTATGCAAAGACACCTAACAATACAAAAATTACCTTCCCCACATTTATAGCATAATCCTATTATACTTGAGGCCCTGAGAGGGTGAGGGGCTGCCTTGTGGTTATATTCATTATGAGATAATACCATGCTCTAATTTTGCTGAGCAACATGACTCTTTCCTACCCAAAACATATCCTCTCTTCTGTACACATGATGATAGTCCATGGTGTGATAGGATATTTTTAATGTGAGAATACTAATGAGTCAGATCCAAAAATAAAAACTGAAAAATAATTTGCAACTAAAGGATAAAACCATCCACTAAGACTGTCCTGAATTTCCAATTAGAAAATATACTGCAAACCTATTATAAACATTGGGAGGGACTTGAGAGCTGGAAATCAGTCACTATAATTTATTTTTAAAGTGCCTGTATTTTCAAGCGTAAGTGTTTTGGCTTAAAATACCTCAATGCTTGGAATATACTGCCTGTCTTCTGAGTTGGTCTTTGGGAACTGGCTGCTAGGGAACAAGTACTAATCTTTGAGGGAGAGAGTCACTTACAGTTGGAGATTTCATTAACAGACTTATAAAGATAGCTTATTGCTGCATTTCAGAGTGCTAATTTGAAAGAATATCATCCCTATCAAAAAAAAAAGGAGCAATAAAATGAAAATCAAAAGCAATTTTTTAAAAATGGAATATAAGAGGAGACACTCTGTCACCTGATCAGATAAACATCCAATTGTTGGAAACAGTGTTATGATTAATGTCATTAACTCCAAATGCCATATTAATCTCTGTAAGAGCAGACCAAGTGGAACAGAGCAAATTAATGGTGTCCTTCTATTATGTATATAATAAGTATCATGTGCTTAATTGTAAATAATCCTTTTGATTTGAAAAGGGAATTAAAAATCATCTAGTCTAACCTCCTACTGCAAGCTTCAGTGTGTTCTAGGGTTTTTCCTGAACTAAAGTTATTCTGGGTATAACTTTTCATAGGATTATATAGACTCCTTTTTTATGAAGTTATGCTGAAGAGTAAATTCTTAGCTCTTCTTCCTTATGCTTTGAGATTTCTCCCCCAAATCAATTATTAAGGAAATATCTAAAGAATAGAACTGGGCCATCTGTTCATTTTAGTGAGATACTGGGTAATAGTAACAGTTAGGTCTGCTCCACTCTATCCAATTTCCTCCTTATTAAGATGAGAAGGAAGGTCAGTTTTACTTTCTTGTGCATTAATGTCAGGCATGTATTTAGGCAGACAAGGAAATCTCTCTCTTGTTTTGCCCAAGGACTAAGCCTAGCCAGAGTGCTAGAAGTTGCCCTACTTTCAAAGCCCACATACAATTAGCCATCTGCCTTGGGACAGCGAAGAGAAGATTTCACTGGACAAGAAACGTTTAAAGTAATGTTCAGGGCCTCTGATTAGGTCTCTCACTTCTAGCCATTAACTTGGGTAAAAGCCAGCAATGGTTGTTTGTGAGCTGTGGTGTTGCTGTCTGTGGTCCTGATACAGCATTCTTGGTCTGGGTTTGGTTGCTTCTTTTCATGTTTGAACACTGGTAACCCAGGCCCAGTCATTTCCTACTCTCTTAATCTGTCTTCCTTTTCTTCTTCTTTTTTTTTTTAAATTCTATCAGTTGCATAACAAATAAAATAGCAAATTATTTTACAGGGTTCACGAATTCCTGTACTTTAAACAGTTCTAGCACCTTTCTGTCACTTATACTTTTCTTTATGGGAAGTTGAAAGTATGTGTTGTATCTCTCACAAAGCTTCCAGAATTCTTTAGAATGTCCTAGACAACAGAAATCATGTACACAGATATCAGGCCAGCCAGGATAAGTTTTCACCAGTATGGCACATTCTTGTGAAAAGGCAACATTGTGTATGCAGATTCCAATACTTCAAATTTCTATTTCATTTCAGCATTCTATTGGTGTGTTTGCTGACCTTGAAAACAGACTTCAAAATCAAAAGGTACATTAGATATACATGAAATTGGCTCCACACTTTACCTATATCCATTCTAGACATTTCCTGCTGTTGCCTAATCATTGAATATGTATACAGACCAGGATAAAAAGAGATCAAATGCTTTGGATCAGACTATACAATAATTACAGAAACATTTGCCTCATGAAGACACGGATTTAAAGCTCCTTCAAAAGCACTAGTTCCCTACATAACCAAACCAGACAGAACGGCAGAATGTTTTTTTCAGTTACACTAAAATATTAAGAACAGGGTTTATGTATTATATTTCTTTGGCATCATCACATCGGATATCAAAGTGCTTGGTACATAATAGGCATATAATAAAAGTTTGTTGATTGATTGTATTGTCAAACAGTTCATCAGTGCTGCCACTTGATTCTCATATTCATTTTCATGCTCTTAGACTGGATTTGTGAGCTAGTGTTTATATATATAGTGCGTGTGTGTGTGTGTATATATATATATATATATATATATATATGTATGTATAAAATTTAGTCAACCCAATCTGATCCAGTTATTATTATGTGCAATTATAACACTATGAAGATAATAAGAAACACTACAGATTTTGTGAACACAATAAAAAAAATCATATTTGCTTTTGCTCTTGTTAGCAATCACAAAGAAGGCAGATAAGTCATGTTACTGGTTTGAAGACAAATGCACAACACTTACACGATCATCGTCAGATAATCTCTTAGTGATATGAAGGGCACTCCTTCGAGACCTCCGAGGATGGTTTTTATGTTTGAATAAGTAGTGATTTTCAAGTGACCCAATCTATAAAAGAAAAAATTAAAATAAAAATCTTCTTTCCAAAATAAGTATCTATAGGTTAGGTTGAAACACAGCTAACTTGGAGACAGGCAGCTTTTGTTAAATCCATTTCTTGTATTGAGGTTAACATTTTTCTTCATGAGGAAGACACTGATAGAAGCCTTCCCTCTCAGTGTGTTGAGTGAGATGAGCTTCATGACATTATCACTTGGGCTCACAGCATGCTTGGGAGCTGTTGATGCTTCTGTTCCATGTATTTCAGAGGAACTACATTTGCTTTTCTAGGTGATGTTATTGTGTAGATAGACATTTCTTAAAAAATATTCATTTTGTCAAATTTATTCTGTCAGAGAACAATAATTTGTGGAAGGCAGGCAAACCCTTTGGTACGATATATAGGCAGTGCCACATTCAGCTAGAATAATTTGTTACGAAATATAGCCATTGAATCCATAGTGATAATTATTATAAGCTACTAGTAGTGACCATCTGACTTTCCAATAGTTCAAGGCTTTGAGGAATCCATAGTGATAATTGAATCCATAGTGATAATTATTATAAGCTACTAGTAGTGACCATCTGACTTTCCAATAGTTCAAGGCTTTGAGGAAGAAACCAGCATGCCACATTTAGGACAGGTGTTCCACCTTGGAGTGTGTAAACTTCTCTGGGTGACTGTCAATACATTTGGTCCATTTAGAACTAAGTTCATTATTCTTTGAAGCTAGTTTCCCTTTATTCAAAATAGTACTTAATTTGAACCTACCAAATTCTCTAGATGCCCTGTATGTTTTTAAACTGAGACAAACAACTGACAATGGGTTATTTCAGAAGAACTACATTCTTTAAATTGGTGTTTCTTATCACCTAGAGAATTTTTTAATAGAGATGCTTAGGGCCTGCTCCAAGCCTGAACCTCAGGGGCTGAATCTGCTATAAGCTTTACATGGAGTTGGGGAGACAGAATATTAGCCATAAGAAAAGATCACCAGTGCTTCGCTCTGTTTCTGCTATCAACTGGTTTTGCTTCTTGTCACCCCCGCCCCCAATCCTAGCTTTTGAGGCCTTAAGGAGCTCAAGATAGTGATGCTAAGTTAAGTGTAAACAAAGGAAGAAACAAGCAGAGCCAGGAAAGCACCATCAGTCTTTTACAAAGAATTATTATTTTAAAAACATTTACTAGTAATGCCATTTAACTGGAAATATGCATATGCAAATCACATGCAAGTATAGATAGGTTTTCCCACTATTTTCTAAAGCCTCTTGTGACTATGCCACCCCTTCCTCGAAGATCCTACCAAGAGTACTGATTTATTGTTATTTATTTATTTATTGAGACTTGTGATTTTGAAAGACAGTCCACATAATGAATGGTCCGGGTTTGGATGTATGTCTGGGGCTAATAAGGTGAGAAAATGAAGAGGGAGTTATTTTTTGCTCTCTCCTCCAATCTCCTTTCACACAATTACCAATGCTATTTAGCTGCCCAAAAGTTCCCAGTTTTTTTTTCCCTCATAGAACACACAAGATTTCCATGATGCCCACAGTACCCACCCATGCAGTTCTGCCCACTACTCACTCTCTTTTTAGATCCCAACAATGCCTTGCGGTTCCCAGACTTATAGGTAAGTCACTTTCTTTTTTATCTCCCTGGTTTCCCACAAGCTGTTTTCTATGCCTGGAGTGCCTTCTCCAATGTCCTCATGTTCTCCAGGGCAACCTTTGATTCTTCTTCCTAAACCTGTGCAAGTGTTTCCTCCTTGGGCTGTCTTCTTTCACCCCTCCCCAATTCCCTTCCATCCTCAATCCTTCAATCAACAAGTATTGAGACTCCAGGAACAGCTTCTTTTGCTATACCAATTGCTTGCAATTGCAGTCATTTGTTTCTAAACCAGTCTCTAGACTCTTGATTCCTTGAAAGTTTATTTTCCTCCTATTATTCCTCAGCCCCTAACACGGAGCCTAGCACAGAACAAGGACTGGACAAAAGCAGAAGTATGGGTCTGCTACTGGGACACGGAGAAGAGAATTCAATATGCGTATTGACTTCCCTGCTGGGGATTTCAGACAGTTTGGCTCATGAAGTTGGAGAATGAAGCCTCTGGGAAGGAAAGGCACATTCCCCAGTGGATCTGGATCTATGGAATTGCCAACGCCCACCCCCCATTACTCATCCATGACTTCAGCTGCATCTCTACCACCACCTCTAGAAAAAACGCGCCAAAATGTTTTACAACTCCTTCCTCCCTCCCCCCCCCCCCCGCCCCCGTTTCCATGCACAGCAACTTACAAGGCAAGGAATGAGGGCTTGATTCTGAGCCAAGGGAAAGGAAGGCTCATATTAGAACTCACACCCCCCTGCGGTGCACAGCTAAGGAGCCCCCTACATAATGCCTTAACGTCCCGCCACCCCCCAGCTGTCTATTAACCCAGGCCTTGCTTGGACGGGCAGCAGCTTTTTTCACTGGATGAAACCCCTGGAAAGCTAATACGCATTTGGCTGGGGAACAAGAAAGATATCCTTTCCCCAGTCACTTCGGCAGCTTGACCCTTCAGGGGAACTGACCGAGCAAAGTTGTGAAGCTCGGACTTTGCAAGTTTCCATTGAGAATCCAGAGCTCGCGGTAGAGGCCCGGAGAGTTGGTCCCATGTCTTTCACCCACCTCATTCTGCCACTCCATAGCCCCCGAGCCCCCGGGTCGCGAGGCCCGGCCACTGACACTCTCCCGTTGCCCTGGGCGTATCCTCGAAGGCTGCCGGCGAACATCTCCAAGCCTGCTTGGCCCCTCGAATCAGGACTTGGATCTGCTGCTGCCATATTGAAAAGAATGAAACAGCCAGCTCCTGACGCAGACCCGCTGAGTCTCAGGGGACAGAGCGCACTGCCTCTCCTCTGGGCACTGGTTAGTAAGAGCCTGCGTGCATCTCAAGTTCCGTGAACAAGCGTGGAGGGGTTTTTCTTCCAAACCGCGCGGGAACGGATTTCAATTCCAGAGCGGACAGCAGCAAGACTAAGCTGTACCCAGCTGCAGCGGCTTGGTTCTGCCTGGCTGCGCCCAGCCCAAACAATAAATAAGGCAAGCCTTCTCCAAGCGCGCCAGGGCCGTGAGCTGGAGAAGCTCCCGCTCCTTGCCTCTGTGCTCAGGAGAGTGCAACCTGGGACTCCCACATGGGAGATTACGCTCCAGTCCCGCCCTCGAGCCCCAGAAAGTTTTTTGAAAGTGCAAACTCTTACCTGACCCAAAAGGTCATAGCCCAGCTCCTCGGCTATCGCAGAGGCTGCCTCCGGTCCCCCGGGGATCTCCGCCGCCCATTCATTCACAAACTGCCTCTTCGCTTTTACATTATTCAGTGCACACCAAGCGCAAAAGAGAGCGAAAGCAGTACACTGCAGAGTCCAGGCTCTTGGCTCCATGGCTCTCCCACTCGCTCGCACACGAGTGGGAAGGAGAGGGGGAATGAGAAGCAAGATAGAAAAGCCAGAAAGGATCGCCCCTTCCACCCTCCGGCTCTGGACCACTTCTCGCTCCCGGTTGTTCTGCGACAAGACAGAGACGCGCAGGAGAGGCTGGGCGGCGGCGAGCGCTCAGTGCAGCGCTTCGGTCTCCCGGTCTCCCGGCAGAGTGGAGCCCCAGCCCTTCCGAGTCGGAATGGAAATCAGTGTTTACACGTCAAATCTACGAAAGCCATCTCTTGACGTCAGATCTACCTGGACTAAGATCTGGATGGTATTCCCAGCGGGATGGAGAAGCGGCTAAAATAAGCAGCAGAGAAGAAAAGGAAGGAAACGTTTGCTCGTATCGGTTAAGTCTGCTCCCGTTCTGATTGTAAATTCTGTAGCCGTAAGGAACACCTTCACTTCTCAAAGAGAAGTGCCCCATTTGAATATAACTACCACGAATCAAAGATCTGGCGTGCAGCACACTTTCCTTCCCTTCTGTCCGTTTTCTTTATCTTTACTTGATTATCTTGTGTAAGAGGAGAAGGGAGGGAGGAGGATTCTTATAACGGCCCTGTGGATATCGGCACCTGCTATGAAGAACAGGGCTTTTCAGTCTTTCAAATCGGACAGAGGCTGGGAGGGCAGAGAGAAGGGAAGCTTCTACTGCCCGGATTCTAACCTAAATCGCCTGGGATAAACGAGCACTTCTGGAAGACAATGCTAAAGCAATACTTTTAAAAACGTATTTTTAACCGTTCAAACCACCTTAGTTAACAAGTTTACATCCTTCTCTCCTCCGTTTCTCAACCTCAGTAAAACAATATCTAAATTTCTATTCCAGATATTGCAGGACCCACTACCACCCACTTTACAGTCCTTATCAGAAAAAAAATGATTAATCTCGTGACTTTAAAATTTTATTTATTTTTATTCACATGATTTTTAAACACAGAAAATTATTTCCTTTATTTATAAACAAGGGAGTGTAGGGACCCAAGTGCTGTTGTGTTGACTCAGGGAGAGAAAGAGCAGGTTTCATTAACTCTGAACTTTCCATTCTTCCTTCAGTAGAGCTCTTCACTTTGGTGTTGAACTGAAGCTATGCCATTACTTTCCCATAAAATGCAAAATTTCTTTTTGTGGAAGGGTGTTTTCCCGTGGAAAGAGAATAAGCAGACGTCTAAATGGTTCTCCCCGCCACCCACCCCTCCCCCACGATCCCAGAACAGGGAAATGGGTACAGTGCACTGTGGCTGAACCTATTCTGATCCTGAGGGGTTGAACCCGGCGGGAAATGCCAGGATCTCCATTCAGCACCGAGGAATGGACAGCGCCACAAGCGCTGGTTGCTGGAGCTGCCCTTCTGAGCTCCAAAAACTGTCGTCCTCCCGCAACCGCCTAGAACCAAACTGTTTCTCTTTTGACTGGTGCCTTTCCTCTCTTTAAAATGGAAAAATAAGAAATTGACCTCAAGGGAAAAGGACGGTTAGGTAATGATCGTGACTACCTCCGTCGGAGTTCGCGGGAAAGCGACGGTCTCAGCCCAAAAGTAAAATTGCAGGGGATTCAAAGTCTTGCCTGAGAAAGGTCTTTTTCTTTTTTTAAGCTCACAGCCGCCGGGGGGCGCAGCCTATTCTAAAAGAAGAAAAGAGATAAGAGTGGAAGAAAGCATATGAGCTTGTGGAGAAAGGAAGCAAGAGATAACTTTTTACCGGAAGCAAGTGAGATGGAGGCTTGGTGGAGGATAAGGCTGAGAAACGCATTTGCCTCCATGTTTGCAGAAATGTGGAGTAGATTGATAATTTCTTTAAACATAAAGCTTCTTAACAAAAACAAATTCCAACGTTAATAAGCCATGTGATGCAGTTAAGTCTATTACTATAATGTAACTCTCACATGAGGTGCTGTAGAATGGGCTCAGATTGACAGTTCTTCTGTCAGCTCCGTAAATTCACATGTGTGAATGTTGATGGTTGGGTGAACTGTCTTCTTTTCTCTTCGTGCCTCAGCCTGAGTTGTGGCTTCAAGCTCTCTAGCGTGTTTCATTCTCACAACAGACAGATGCTAACTGTGTGCTAGCAAAGCAAAAGAAACTTGTGGCAAATATTTAATAATGGTCTTTCATTATTAAATATTTTAAAATATTTAATTTTATTTAATAAATATTTAATATTATTTAATAAATATTATTAAATATTTACTGTCAATTTGACAGTTCCCTACACACCTGGAATAAACATTTGGTTGATATATTTAGTAGGGCAAACTAAATTCTCACAGTAAAAGGATAATATCCCTATCCAAACTATATACTATATATATATATATATCAGTAATTTATTTTGAAATTCTCTGAATCTTATCTGATGGACCTTATTTGCCACAGTTTCTGGGATGCAGAAGAAATGAATGTTTACCGAGGCTGGAGGGTGCAAATAGATGTAGAATTCATCTTAACTTTGTCATATCAAGGGCTAGTCTTATCCTGCTATGTGGATCATAGTAATAACCTCCAGGCCCATCACTGTCATATTTTATATCATGAATTAGAAGAGCCAATTATCACCCTTAAGTTGGTTTTAACAGCATTTGATTCATCTGATTAATTTATGTAGAAAACAGGATAATTCAGAAACTGAGGAGGACTGTGTTTCTATTATGAATTATTAAGTAAGTGTCATGCCTTTCATGACTGCTCCCAACTGCCCAGTGATACAGTTAATCATTTATTAGGTTTTCTTGGAAAGTAATAAGAGCAAGGCTATTATGAACAGGAAGTAAGAATATGTTCAGAGATGACCGTATCTCTTTAGTCTTAGAAAACAAAATGTTTAAACCTTTTGTTACAGTGAAATAAACTATGCACACTAAAGTGCACAAAGCCAGGTGCTCAATGATTTATCACAGCGTGAACACTATATAACCATTCAGGTCAAGAAAAAGAGCATTGCTAGCCCTCCAGAATAATATTCCAGGTTTTTTTTCAAGAGGCATAGGAGAAGGAGTGAGGAAATAACTTAGGTTTAACATTTTCCAATTGTTATGTAGACTTACCTGTTTTCTTTGGGTAATAGTAGCTATATATTAAGACAAGTATATAATTAATTTGTCTGTATACTAGAAGATATTTGGTAACAGAACATATTATAGAGGGAAATCTGCCTATAGCAGTGTTCCCCCAAATAGAAAATTACAATATTTGTATGACACACTGGGGTAAAACTGGAGGAAATTTGGGAATATCTGTATGGTACTTAGTAAAGGTATTCATTACATTTTTTTATATGATACAGTTTTGACAAGAAAATAAAATACAATATTTGGAGCAATATATTAAAATTGAATATAGATAACATTAAATTGAGAACTGTGAATATACTTCCATCAATATAACTTTTTATCTCAGGTTTTATGCTTGAAAGCCTATATACCATTTCTAATCAAAACAGTAAGGCTTTTTGAATTGTTGATGGTTGCTGTCAATGAAAAAAAAATTTTGTACAAGAGAATAAAAATTTTGAAACAAGTTTTACAACCATTAAACAATTTGCAACATTTGATTTTAAATATAGCAACTCTTCCTTTTAGCTCCTTGTGAGATTTACCATTGGAATTTCATAAGAGGATGCTATAGATTTAAAATTTACCTAAACTTTATATGTCAAGTATTAACAAATCATTTTTCTAAATTGAAAAATACACATACCTTTTAGAGATGTTACCATGCACTTACTTTGCCACAAATGGATAAAAGTATTTAATGTATGGGAAGACTGATATCGGGATCATCACCTAAAGATACACCTGCCAAAAACCTCTTTCTTTCTCATTGTCTATCCTCCCATGGCCAAATTTTGGTGGGCATGCTATGCTAGTGAAGCAATTAAGACCTGAACTTCTCCAGCAGATCCACAGAGCCTTCTCCTAACATAAAAACGGACACGCTTGCAGCAAGTTGCTGAAGTTGATATCAAGATGATAGACACTTGGCTTGGTTGAGCTCAATGTCTTGAGGCCAGACTAATGAGTGCTAGGTGTCACTCACTAATCGTGATTGACTAATTGCCAATCTGGCTGGGTCTTCTTCCCAGGAGCCCAGGATCAAGCTACTTGGCTGGCCTTCCCAAAGGATAAGAAGACCGAATATCTTGAAGGACATCTATAGTTCTACCAGCTGGAAAGCCCTAATCTATAGAAATGAAGGTAAGAGAATAATAAAGCAAAGTCAGTACACTGAAAGGCTCTGAAGTGGATGGATAATTATAAAGGACTTCTGTTGAGTGAACTAGACAAACACTTAGTCTTGAATTTAATATAGATTTGGATTATTAAAATTGAAGAAATGAGTGCTATTAATTCTGATTATTGAACATGACTCGTCACTTCTAATGAAAGTGGATAATTAAATGTAGTCATATACAAGTATTTATTAACAATTTTTCTTACCTTAGAACAGATGCCTTAAAAATATGCATTTACTGAGTAAGTTTTGTAGTATGGCTGCTTCTGTCTCCAGGCAATGCTCCTGCTTCCTCTATGTGCTCCAACACTGCCATTTTCATATGGAAAACACAGTACATAACTGCTTTCTTTGTTCCTGAAGTGTATTTTTTTAATGAAAATTATAGACTCTCAGTATCAAAAAGTAACCTTAACAAGTTATCTGGTTCCTTGCTTCTCAAAGTGTGGTCCATATACCACATGATAGGCATCACTTTGGAGCTTGTTAGAAATTTAGTCTCTCAGCCCCCACCCCAAAACTACTGAATCAGAATCAGTTTTTCTAATTAGTCCATGTCAATTCACATGCAATTAAAGTTTGAGAAGCACTGATCTAGTTAACACATCCCTAAATACATAACACTCCTCAGGAATAGTCCTTTTCACCATTGAGAATGATGTTAGCTGTGGGTTTGACATTTATGGCCTTTATTATGTTGAGGTAAGTTCCCTCTATTCCCACTTCTGGAGAGCTTCTATCATAAATGGGTGTTGAATTTTGTCAGAAGCTTTTTCTGCATCTATTGAGATGATCATATGGTATTTATTCTTCAGTTTGTTAATGTGGTTTATCACACTGATTGATTTGCTTATATTGAAGAATCCTTGCATCCCTGGGATAAATCCCACTTGATCATGGTGTATGATCCTTTTAATGTATTTCCGGATTCGTTTTGCTAGTATTTCATTGAGTATTTTTGCGTCTATGTTCATCAGTGATATTGGCCTGTAATTTTTGTGTGTGTGTGGTATCTTTGTCTGGTTTTGGTGTCACAGTGATGGTGGCCTCATAGAATGAGCTTGAGAGTGTTCCTTCCTCTGCAATTTTTGGGAAGAGTTTCAGAAGGATAGGAGTTAACTCTTCTCTAAATGTTTGATAGACTTGGCCTGTGAAGCCATCTGGTCCTGGAC